GACACGCCGCTTCCTATATTGAAGATCCCTGCCTTTATTTCTGTTGGATGGCACTCAACGGCAGCATTCTCATATTTTGTGATCACAACAGAAAGGCTCCGTGTCACACATCGCTCTGGTATATGGCATTTTCCGTCAAATAAACACATTATGGTTTGTCCTCATCCACCTTATTCACTGGATTTGGCACTGTGTGACTTCTGGCTCTTCCCCAAAGTCAAAATAATTCAGGACATCCAGGCAGCCACAACAGCACAACTAAAGACCTTCATGAAAGAGGACTTCCAGAACTGTTTCAGAAAGTGGCAAGAACGATGGGATAAGTGTGTTCGAAGCAAGGGAGGGAGTATCTGAGGGGGATTAATGGCAATGTGTCTTTCACTGTAATAAATTTTTAAAATTTAAACATTCACCGTGTGTTTTGATCACACCTCATATATTTGGATTTTCAAAGATAAAAGAACTATCTCATTCTTATTTAAAAAGATTCTCAGAACAATAAAGATATTTAAAATAAAATACATATTTCTCTTCCCCATCCCACCAATCTCTTTCATTCTTTACATGTAAAGGTGTCAAAAAAAATAGAGGCATTGACAGAAGTTGGGAGTTGGGTAGGAATAAGGGATGGATAAGAGGTCATGTTGTATTTATCAGTATATGCATATCATTTCATTTTTATGTGATAAGAAAAACATTGTCTACAATATAAAAGCCACAAGTACCAAATATCTTCATCAGAAAATTCTTAGTTTACTGATAATTAGTCTTAAATAAATCAGTTCTGGGAATGCAGGTCCTATATCATAGAACATAGCTATATGTGATTATAATACCCTGTTAAACTTTTCATGGTAACTTAAAGAATAATGTTCTTTATATTTATTTGAATTAAATGTGAAGGATAATTTAAAAACCTGAAGATGAACAATAGAAGTTAATGGCTATGATCCGAATAAAATGTCACTTCTTTGTGAAATATTTTTCCTATACATGTGCTGAACATGAATATTTCAAGGGACCTCACATAGGCTATAATGATCAAATCCTTCTCTCATCTCTAATTCCTTTAGCAAGATGAAGCCAAAGGTGTGTCTGCCTGAGAAACCAAAAAGGACTCGAACCAAATTACTTTAAATATGCAATTGTCATTAAGCACGATGAATTTATGTAAAACCAAACCCATATAAAATTACTTTTACAGTTCATTAGACAAAAGTATTGCAAATACATAGCTGAAAATATGTAAAATTAAGAATAAACATTGATGAAAGTGAACACAGATGGAAGAATGTGATCTTGACAATGAGAGGTGAGGACACTGATGGAGACAGATGGAACAGTTTTACTCTTTCAACTCTCACCTCTATCCTTCTTCTTTTTCAGGGGGTCAGACTTACTTTTCCCCTTAAGATCTGCTTTCTGTGGTGATGGGGTAAGCTCTTCCTGAACTGTTTCACTTACTTTACTCACTTCTGTTTGGCCCAGGTGAGAGCTACTGGGTAGTGAAGATTTGTTAAGTTTGCTACCAAGTAAAGCGTCTTTCTTAATAGTTGGCTGGGAGGTTTCATGCATGCCTCCCCTGGAGTCTGTTAGTCCACCAGGTGCATCACTCAGTTCAGGCCACACATCTGGAGACACTCCTCCCCCTACAATCACCAGATAACAACAGAAACACTTTAAGCCCCGACACAGTGTAAATTGCTCTTACTTAATAGAACAAAGAGAAAAATATTAGGACCACAAACAGAACAGAAAGCAATCTTGGTTTAAAGGAAATCACTTGGATTTGCAAGAAATATGGAGAGCATACGTTTCACATAATTTACACCAAGGAAACATTTTAACTTCTCCATATTCTGGAAAAAAGAAGGAATGAGAACAAAAAAAACACAGACAGAACAGGAACTCTTTTGAGTTGCAAAACCCAAGTATATACAACAGAAAGAAAGTCTCAGACATTTCTTGAAAGATATAAGCCCTATTATTCAACAGAAAGGGGAAAGAGGACCATAAAGTACACAAAAGACATAACATTAAAGATCCTGGCTTTATAACGGTTAGAGTTACGTACATTACTGAAATATTAATGGTCTGTACCTCCCAACCTCAAAGCAACATGTTCACTATTTGTCCATATTATAAGGAGCATTAAAAAGTAATATGGGACACTAACTGAAGACAATTGATATTAAATAATCTTTCTCTTTAAATGTGTGTTACTATATGACAGATTTCATTTTTATTGCTCAAAACTTCCTGGGTCCCTTCCCCCACATTATCTAAGATTGGGAGGTACATCATGTACATACTTATAATTACTTTATTACTGGTTTTATTCTGTTGATTATTTTGCAAGCACAGATGAAGCACGATTAAGCAACCACATGCGTCTTTGCAGGAATTTTAGAGGAATTTATAAAAAGCATGTTAATATGCTGTTAGTGAAAACAAGCCAGGCTCTGTTGCAGATGAAATGGCTTTTAGGTACAAGATGATCTGTGTTATGAATGATATACCACTTCACGGAGTTGGATGGCCCTTCACATTCCCACGATGAGCACGAAGTTAGAATGGAGCTTCACACAATGGGAAATATCTGAGGAAACTCAGACTTGTGAAGATGAAAAGGCTACAGATGCATAGAATCTGGATAAGTGATGAAGATCTATAAAATGACAGCTATGGAAGGTTAGATGTCACTTGGAGTCAGAGAAAATAATCATCTGAAGATGGAATCATCGAGCAATATTAAAGTTTTAAGCAATTTCTGGAGAGGATGGCATTTGCCTTTATAACAGAAAAATTCATTTTTTTTTCCTTACAAAATTATGCATAAGTAACTTACCAATAGCAGCTTTTATTTCAATCACTTCTGAATCCTCTGAATATTCACTAAGTCCAGCTGCATTAACTGCTCTGACCCGGAAAATGTAATTCTGACCAGTCGCCAATCCATGGCAAGTAAATCTAAAAGCAAAGAAAGTTTTTAAAAACTTTCCAGGAGGAAAATTAGAGATGATGATTGTTAGGTTAACTGAATGATCAGGCTTTATGAAAACGATTCATTTTTTAAAAGCAAGAAAAAGATATAGAGAGATCTAGGTAACATAATGTGCTTTAGACAAGAAGGCAGCTAAGGCAATTTCCTAAACTCATTCTGTCAAATGGTGAGGAATCCCAGTTTTCCCCTGAATAAGTACCTTAACGTTTCTGAGCCTCTGTGTGCTCATAAATAAAATGAGGATAATAACACCTCCATAAAAATTTTTGTATAAAGATTGATCATAAAGTATTTAAAGTAGCTATTACAAGGCCTGCATATAGGAGGCATTAAATAAATGGTAGGTGGCTTTCGGGTCGGCTGAGTGGCGCGTTGGTTAAGAGTTGGCGTGGGAGCGCCAGCTCTGAGCAGCAGGACCCCGGTTTGGATCCCACATGGGCCAGTCATGCTGCACCCTCTACAGCTAAGATGGTGAACTACAGCCCGACCTGGAGCTGGGCTATTGTGAGTTGCTGGCGGCTGCGTAGGCTGCAGTGAGGCTGCAGTGGGCTGCCGTGAGCTACCGCTAGTGGCTGGCAGCCAGCGTGAGCAGCCGGCAGCTAGCGTGAGCTTCCATCCAATGGCCAGCAAGTGACAGCCTCACCCAGGAAGAGTGCAATGATAATACCAACATGAGCCAGTGACGTGATGTCCTCTACAACTAGACTGAAGAACAAAAGGACAGCAACTTGTCTGTTCCCCTTCCCCAATTCCCCCAATTAAAAAACTTAAATAAAAAAATAAATGATAGGTGGCTTTAATAATATTATTAATGGCTATTGCAGGTATATACTTATGGCCATAAGGCATTGGTTGCTCTTTGTCATAGAGGCCTGCCTAGTCACTGCCTCCCTGCATGCCCTGGAAGGTACAATTAATTGAGAAACTACACTTGAATTTGAAAATAAGGTGAAAAATCAACTCCAGAATTACCATTTCAGTATAAGGATCCAACGATGAGGTGAATTCATGAGCAGTTTCACACAAAACAACCTCACTGTTTAATAGCTATTATGGTTATAAAAAGCTGTTTCATGAATCCCTGTACATTTTAATCCATTCTAAGGACTGTAGCCAGAAGAAATAGCAGGTCTGCTAATGACTCTATTACTATTAGCATGTTGAAATATTTAATAAAGCCAGCTATAATTTAGGATAATCCTAAATTTAGACCAATCCTTAGGTCTGCTCAGTTCAGCGAATATTTATTGAGCACTTCAGTCTCCCAGACACTGAGTTAGGTATTAGATATAATGATGAATAAAATATGGTGCCCACCCTTGAGAAGCTCCCATCCATTTGTAGAAAGGCAGACTTTGCCTACCCTCCATGATTGTTTCTAAATAGTCTTAGTAAAATGATGGAAACTCAGGATAAAAGTGAAATGAACAAACCGGCTTAATGAATCTCCTATAAAACATATTGCCTGCTTCCATTAATTGGTTTGTCTGTTCTCATGCTCTGCAAAAGAACCAACTCATTCTGTTGGGGTCCTTAGAAGTGGCCATGCCAGGAACTGCCTAACAAGCCTATTTGACAATTTTTTCTCTGTTGTAAAATGCATCTTGCTTCTCAGTCTTAGTAGGGTGATCGGGGAAAGCTTGGAGTTTAGGAATGGATTTGTAAACAGTCCTATTAGGAAGAAAATGCTTTAAGTGTAAGTCAGCTCTACTTACCTTGGCAACATGTTTTTAAAACCCAATCAGATTTAGTAAAAACAACAAAAAAGGAAGTTTCCTGTCAGATTGGTCCTAAATCAAAGGAGGCTCAGAGTTTGGGTACAGGCCAGAATTCATCATCAACTTGCAAAGCTGGTTGATAATATGCTTGAAAGCAAGAAAAAACAACCTTCTCACATTAGAAACAAAAAGGTGGCAAAGTATTCCGAGTGTCCTTGATTTGGTGTTATTTATGTCTCCTAAGCACTGAGTTGAACTATGTTGATGTTCAGAATTTATAAAACATGGATAGTTTTTTTCTGTTCATTTAAAATGCCGGGATAATTTATGTTAGCTACAGCTAATTAAATCCTTGGAATCTAGTACCACATTCGATATTGAAGATCAGAACAGAGGGGTAAAAATGACAAATAGCATAAAGGAAAAAAAACAGAAAAGAACTATAAAATGAACTCTTATCTTAGCTGGCATTAAGTGTTTCTAAGTGTTTAATATCACAAGTAAACCTTTTTGCAAATGTACTGCAGTACACATGTTCAATCTTAAATTCATTTGGATATTTAAAGTAAGTATAATGCTTTAAAAAACACCCTTCCATTGAACATTGGTGCTGCTGTAGGGGTTCATGACTCTGTTTCCTCTTCACAGCCCCTGTGTCTCTAGAGTCAGAACCTCCCCCCCGCCCCCCGCCTTCTCCCTTGCCGCCACATACACACACACACACACACACACACACACACACACACACACACACACAGAGTGGTTACCGTGAGCCCTTCACAGGGTTGTTGTTGCAGGGCTCCCACTTGCCAGAGCCAACAATGCTGGATTCTATGTAGTACCCAACCAGCTCCTGAGCATCTTTGGATTCTTCCCATGTAACGATTACTGATGTATCTGTATTTCTGCTTGGGATGATTTTGCCTGGGGCCTTGGGGATATCTGAGAAAAGAGGAAAATTATGATGAAACTCAGGGTGGTTTTAAAAAATTCATTCTTATCACATATGCACAAACACACATGTAAATCATGTCAAACATATGGTTACTTTATTTTACAATATATTTGTTAAAGCAGAAAATAAAAAATTAAACATGTTCATTTGGGAGAATAATGATAAACTAAATATCCAAGAACACACCAAACACTCCAAAAAAAAAACACCATACATTAGCAATAGTGTTGAAACTCCAGAACTTCACTTTCATAACTTCATAGTTCATAATAATGATTTTTAAAAGTTTATCAGTCAAGTATAATCATCAATTAAATTTGTATCATGAAAGAAGGATGTCACCACTTTTACTTCTGAGTATATTCACAGGGTGTCAAAAAAAATGTATACACATTTTTAAGAAAGGAAAAAAAATGTATTAAAATTGTAACACTCAATACATACCAATAACAAAAGATGAATACAAGTCATGTGTATACATTTTTCTGGCGCCCCTGGTATATTCTAATGAGATTCTTGCTTTGAGGTTTTCTCTTGAATTGAAGTAAAATAAGTTTAAAGTTGCTCAACCGAACTCCACACTTACCAATTTTGTCCCCGACCACAGTCACTTCTGTTGCCTTTGAGGGCTCACCAACTCCTGCTGAATTAGAACAGCGGACGCGGAAACGGTAGGATTTTCCCTCAGCCAAGTCGAACAGAGCAAAGCGGGGAGACTTCACCGGGAGTTCTGTGTTCACCCGCTGCCAGTTTTCTGTTCCTGCTTCACACTACAGCCATAACAGTGAAACCCATTGAAAACACAGCAAGAATAAATGGGGAGTCTAGGCTGGGCATCTTGCAGTTTTATCGTAGGCTAATTGATATAAACAAGGCATTTTTCTGGTCACAAAAACATCACCAAATTTCTAAACAAAGATCCAAAACACATCTAATATTAAACATTGAAATAAATGTGAACTATACATACATATAAGAAAGATTAATAAAAACGAATAAGATATGGTTTTCCAACCTGCTTATTCTAGTTCAGGGTCTTGAGTGGCCCGAGCCTGTCCCAGCAGTTCAGGGAGCATGGCAGGAACTCACCTTGGACAGGACAACATTCCATCACAGGGACACTCACACACACACACACACACACACACACACACACACACACACACACACACACACACTCACTCAAGTCTAGTAGAGTTGAGGCATGTCCATTCATGTTACATGAATCTCTGGGATGTAGAAGGAAACTGGAGTACTCAGAGAAAACCCACACAGACCTGGGAGAACGCGCAAACTCCACACAAACAGTGGCTCCAGCCAGAAATCAGTTTTTTTTTCTTATCAATGTTATAAAGAAACAATGTTGAATGAACCTTATTCGAGGACCAGCTGTACTAAAAAATGTCCCTTTCTGTTCCATACTAATAGGTATGCTGGTGGAAGATACTTAAAATTTTAATCCTAGAGTCATATGTATTTAGATCTAGGAAAGTTACAGACTTTCATGGAGAAATTAGAGTTTATTCGACTGGAGGAAATGTTCAACAGAAGCCAAAGCTGATTCATCTGAAAAAAAAATGCCTCAGTACTAGATGTTATTGTGTTATTATTACCAGAAAAATGGTAATTACGTCACAGAGCTTATTCAGAACGCTCTTCCTGTGGGGCATTTCAAAAAGACACAGTGAGGGTCTGTATTAAGCACACCAGGAAGTGAATATTTATCATTCTATTCTTGCCCTCTATTAAAAAAAAAAAAGAAAGAAAATTTTAATTGAGAATAATATTCAAGTTATATTTTATTTGAGGTTAATATCTAGAAAATATAAAAATTAATAAAAATATAAAATCTTAGTATTATTTTGGTAAAATCAGACTGTTTTGGGAGATGATCCATTTATTGTTACCCATTTGCTAGGGATAAGAAGGAAGTGAGGCATACTCCTCAAAGGCATAAGCTAAATATCCTTATCAAAGAAAGTTAAGATACGGAATTGTAATAGATATGTATGATATCTGGGGGGGAGTGGGGCGGCGGATTGGGGGATGGGGGTTGTCACTTTGAGGGGTAAAAAGTATAATTATTATACCGTGTTGTACCTGAAACTAATTAAAAAAATTTTTTTAAACCACAAAAACTGAAAATCTAAAAAAAAAAAAGAAAGAAAAATAAGATATTTGACAGAAAAAACTAGCTACTGTCATGTTGCTTTTAAATCCCTGACCCCATTCTATGACCTGCACTTAAGAGCAGTACTAGCCAAGAATGTGGCAACATATGAAAACTGTCTACCACTAGAAAGTATTTTAACTTCGACTCCTCTCACCCATGTACCCTTGTTTATGTTCATTCCCTACTACAGAAAAACAAGTGGTAGAGAGATGAAAATCCATTACTAGAGCAAGGGAGACACAAAAAGTATCCAGAAAATATTGTCATTCAGGCGATCTACAGTTTCAGGAACATCTCTTTTTGTATCATGGGATCATGATTTGGGGTCTGTGAACATCTTAGAAATCTATTGATGAGCCTCAGATGTCCATAAAAAAAGTACCCTGAACTTGCAACAAAGTTCTGTTGAGATACATTTTTCTATTTTTCTGTGGAGATTCTTCACAGTTTATAAGGGTTTAAAGAGTTCAGGATTAAATAAGATTTAATCTCTACTTAAAAATAAATCTTTAAAAAGAGGCATGAGGTAATAATGTTGATCCCAGAGTCTTACCTTTTCCACAAAATACAGAATGCCCTCATGGCCACGCTGGCCAGGAGGTTTCCAGCTTAGCACCACATAGCTCTGGGTAGCCTCAGTGACAGAGACGTCTACAGGAGGTCCAGGAATAATACCCTCTGAAAAACAACAAGGAAAAGTAAAGAGCACATACTCTGGGAAACCCAGGATACTCAGAGTCACGGATGCTTCTCTCTTACTGGAGGAAGAGTTAATTACTGCTCCACAGTATAAATAAGTACCTTGTCTCTAAAATTCTTCCGAAACAGTCATTCATTCATTCAAAGCCACAATTTTACTCTCTTTGCTTGACAATTTTAATTTTCTTATTAGTCCTAAAAAACAGTAGCAATGACACAAGTTATCTCTTCTATCTTTACACAAAGGAATGGAATCATAGTTTTCAAATGCTACTTATTTATTTTTAGTTTTTAATTTTTGAATTATAGTTGACATACAATATATTAATTTCAGGTATGTACAACATAGTGTTTAGACATTTATATAATTTATAATGCAAAGAGATCACCCTGATAAGTCTAGTCCCCATCTGACACCATATATAGTTATTAACAATATTACTGACTATATTCCCTACACTGTACTTTACATACCCATCACTATTTTGTAACTACCAATTTGTACTTCTTGATCTCGTCACCTTTTTTTATCCAGCCTTCCAACCCTCCGCCCACCTGGCAATCATCAGTTTGTTTTCTGTATCTATGAGTTTGTTTCTGTTTTGTTTGTTCATTTATTTTGTTTTTTTAGATTCCACATATAAGCGAAATCATATGGTATTTGTCTTCCTCTGTCTGATTTATTTCACTTAGCATAATACCCTCTAGGTCCATCCATGTTATCATAAATGGTAAGATTTCATTCTTTTTTATGGCCAAGTAATATTCCATTGTTTATATGTACCACCTCTTCTTTATCCATTCATCTATCAATGGACACTTACGTTACTTCCATATCTTAGCTATTGTAAATAATGTTGCAATGAACATAGGGGTGCATATATCTTTAGAATTAGTGTTTTGGGTTTCTTTGGATAAATATCCACTGATGAAATTACTGGGTCATATAGTAGATCTATTTCTAATGTTTTGAGGAACTTCCATATTGTTTTCTATAGAGGCTGCACCAATTTACAATCCCACCAACAGCACACAAGAGTTCCTTTTTCTCCACATCTTTGCCAACACTTGTTTGTTGATTTATTGATGATAAATCATTCTGACAGGTGTGAGGTGATATCTCACTATGGTTTTAATTTGCATTTCACTGATAATTAGTGATGTTGAGCAACTTTTCATATGTTTATTGGCCATCTGTATTTGGAGAAATGTCTATTCAGGTCTTCTGCTCATTTTTTAATCGGATTGCTTATTTTATTTTATTTTATTTTTTTTGGTGTTAAGTTGTATGAGTTCCCTATATATTTTGGATATTAACCCCTTATCAGATATATCACTGGAGAATATCTTCTCCCTTGTAGTAGGTTGTCTTTTTGTTTTGTTGATGGTTTCCTTCACTGTTCAAAAACTTTTTAGTTTGATGTAGTCCCCATTTGTTCATATTTTTCTTTTGCTTCTCTTTCCCAAGGAGAGATATTAAAAAAAATGTTATCAAGAGTGATGTCAGAGTTTATTGCCTAGGTTTCCTAGGAGTTTTATGGTTTCAGGTCTTACATTTAGGTCTTCAATCCATTTTGAGTTTATTCTTGTGTATGAGGTAAGAAAGCAGTCTAGTTTCTTTACTTTTCTTTTTCTATTTGAACGTCTCTGTTCAATTTTCTCAACACCATTTACTGAAGAGACCATCTTTATTTCATTTCATATTCTTGCTTCCTTTGTCTGAGATTAATTGACCATATAGATGTGGGTCTGTTTCGGGCTCTATTCTGTTCCATTAATCTATGTGTCTGTTTTTATGCCAGGACCATGCTGTTTTGATTACTATAGCCTTGTAGTATAGTTTGATGACAGGTAGCATGATACTTCTAACTTTGTTATTCTTTCTCAAAATTGCTTTGGCTATTCACGGAAAATATAAAAATGGTATAGATTAACTTCTAGAGATGAAAAGTATAAAGTCTATGATGAAAAAATAAACCCATTGACTGGAATTCACAACAGGTTAAGCACTGAAGAATAAAAGGATAGTAAAATTAATGACTCAGCAGTAGAAAATATCTGATATAAAATATCTGAAATGAAATATAGAAAGAAAAAAACTAAAGGAAAAATAAACACAGCATCAGTGAGTTGTGGTTTCAAACGACATGTAATTAGAGTTCCTGAAGTAAAGAAGAGAGAAGGGAGTACAGAAAAAAATATTTAAATAAATAATGGTGAAAATTTTTCCAAATCTGATGAAAACTATAGATTCACAGAACCAAGGAACTTGCAAACCCCAAGTATAAGATACATAAAGGAAATGACATAAATGAACCTCATAATCAATTTTCTAAAACCAGTCACAAAAAATTATTTTAAAATCAGATAGATAAAAAGGGTACATTACACACAGAGGAACAAAATTAAGAATAACAGCAGTCATTCTTGTAGTGCATGTCTGCACTGCACTACAGTGAGCAACCTCTTTAAAGGACTGAATGAAAACTGTCAACCTAGAATTCTATACCCAGGGAAGATATATTTTAAAAATTAAGATGAAATAGAGACTCAGATATACAAAAAATAAAATACTTTATAACCATCAGGCCTGCATTATAAGAAATATTAAAGGAAATGCTTTAGGTAGAAAGAAAATCATATCAGATGGAAATCCATATGTACACAAAGAAATGAAGAGCAACAGAAATAGTAAAAATGTGAGTGAATATTGAAAACTTATTTCTTTTTAAATCTTTTTGAAAAATAAGTAACTGTTTGAACCAAAATAATAACACTGTATTGTGCATTTTAAAATGTAGACATAAATAAAATGTATGACAATAGCAACACCATGGCAAAAGGACTGAAATCATATACTAACACTAATCAAAAGAAATCTAGAGTGGTTATATTTATACCAGACAAAGTAGATTTCCAAGCAAAAAGAAACATTACCATGGAGAAAGGGAATCACTTTATAATAATAAAGTGGTCAATTCATGAGAGGCTATCACAATAAAAATGTTCATGCATATAATAACAGAGCATCAAAATACATGAAGCAAAACCTTATAGAACTATAAAAAGAAACTGATAAATACACCATTTAGTTGGAGATTTCATCACTATTTTATCAATAATTGATAGAACAAGTAAATAGAAAATCTTTAAGACATAAATACTCAATTGAAGTCCCAGCAGGTTATTTGTAGAAACTGATAAGCTGGTTATAAATTTTTCATGAAAATGCAGACTTAGATGAGCCAAAACAAGTTTGGGGGGAAGGAAAGGATAGAGGGTTTATACTACTTGATTTCAAAACTATGAAGCTTAAAAAAAAAAGACACTTATAAAAGCTACATTAATCAAGGCAATGTGGTATTGGTGCGGAAAAAAATAAAATTGACCAATACAGATTGCAGAAATAGATCCAAAATATGCAATTAATTGATTTTGACAATGTGCCAAGGCAATTAATTCAATGGGAAAAGATAATATTTTCAACAAATATTGCTGAAATAATTGGATACCAATATGCAAAATAAAAAAAATAATTTAGACCTTTACTTTATACAATATAGAAAAATTTAATTTAAAATGGATCATAGACTGAAATGTAAGACCTAATGCATAAACATTTCTAGAAAAAAAGAGGAAAAATATCTGAGTGAACTTGGATTTGGCAAATATGACGCAAAAATGGCAAATAAGTATGTTAAAAGATGCTCAGCACTATTAGGGAAGTACAAAATAAAATCACTATGCACCCACTATGAAATACCACTATAATATAAAACACCACTATGCACCAGTAGAATGGCTAAAATTAAAAAGATTGACCATGCCAACTACTGGTGACAGTGTGAAGCAATGGGAACTCTCAAAGACTACTACTTATGGGAATGTAAAATGTTACAACCATTTTGGAAAACATTTGGCAGTTTCTTTAAAAATTAAACATAAACCTACCATATGACATATCCATTTAACGTGTAGGTATTTATCCAAGAGAAAAGAAAGTGTATGTCCATACAAACACTTAAGTATTTTTATAGAAACTTTCAATGGTGAATGGATAAATTGGAATGAACTGATACATGCATCAACATGGATAGATCTCAAAATAATTATGCAGAGTGAAGGAAACCAAACAAAAATGAGTATGATTCTATTGATTCTATTTATCTAAAATGTGCACAATGCAATTTATAGTGACAGAAAGCAGATCAGTGATGGCCTAGAGATGGGGGAAGGGATGGGAAGGAGATATTACAAAGGGACATGAAGAAATTTTAGGGGTGATGAATATGTTCATTATTTTGATCATGGTGATGGTTCCACAGGTGAACACACCTGTAAAATTTATTAAATTGTACATTTTACAGACATGAAGATTACTGTGTCAATTATACCTCAATAAAACTTTTTTAATAAAGCTTTTTCAAAAAGTAAATTAATTTTTGATCTCCAAATATTTCAGAATGTTCTTTCCCAAACACGTTAAAAATATACACTGAACACTCCACAACAAAAGCTAAATTGCATAGGAAAACATTGGCAATAGTATCTGGGGAAAATGTAGCTTTTACCTGTAGGTTCCTCTTCAGTGACAATGATCTGTCCAGTCCAGGGTGCTGAAGGGCGACCTGAACAGAAATAAATATAAAAATCACAAACAGTGCAGTTTCAACTGCACTGATAAACTGGCCAGATTAGTCACAAATGGGTTTGTTACTAGTTTACTTATATATTTTGCTAATGGATCTCACGGAGTATGTATATGGTATTGTGACCTCAAAGAATTCACAATCTGCTAGTGCCTAGAACCTGCCTGAACTGAGTCGACATTTCTAGAATTGTACTTACACACGTGAGGTAAACAGCCTGTGTTTATTTACTGTTCAATATGGATCTCCTGAAACATGTAGGCTCTCGTGTTCCTTCGTAAGAGATAACATGTATTTGGGAGAAACCTTTCAGGAACAATTGTAAGCCCAGTAGTTTATTTATCTGTCATAATGAAGATGAAAGAAGAGAGGGACGCTGACCCTGCAGTAAAGCTCAACAAAGCAATTCCATTACATTTGAAGAGTGTTATTTACAAAGGAAATCAGTTTGAATTCTAAGTAAGGAAAATGGATAAGACAGGCAGTATAAAGAGGAAATTCATTTCTGTGATCCCACAGACATCACAAAGAGAATGATTCAACTCCTGCTTTAATCAAGGGACTTTGTGCAAAAACAGAAAGGTGATAAAGAAGATAACTTATTTTCAATTCAAACAAATGTTATTTTCATTGGAATTTATAAAACAGGAATAAATGAAAGTATGAGATGGAATTGGGAAAGAGAGAGGGAAGTTGGATGGTAAGTGAAAAGTGATTGGAGAACAACCAAGTAGACTGATTAGAAAAAGTCTCCAGAGAAAAGGTGTCATTATTTTACTTAGAGTTTTATGATGGTACTACATGTACTTAAGGTAAAGGATAGCACTGCAAATATAGCATAGACTAGTAGTCCTCAACTAGGGTGATTTTGTCCCCCAGAGACATTTGGTAACGTCTGGAGACAATTTTGATTGTCACAAGGGGCGAAGGAGGTGTTATTGGCATCTAGTGAGTAGAGACCAGGGATGCTGCTAAACATCCTACCATGCACAGGATAGCCCCCACAACAAAGAATTATCTGGCCTAAAAATCTCAATAGGGCCAAGGTTGAGAAATCTGGTACAGAGAGTGAAATTTTAATTTCCAGCAATTTCTTTATAATGTCATTTTATGGTGCCTATTATTGAGGATGTCATATGGGTTCCCATGAAACAAATGCACAGCATAATTCATGTACCATGGTTTTGACATTGACACTTGGAGGCTAAATATATGAAAAGGCTAAATATGTTATTTTTGACTGTCTAATATGGAAACTCAAGTATAGATCAGATATAATGTTGTAAATGTGTTTTTCCTTTGATATAAAGAAACTCACTGTATTGAGATATTAATGCTCTAAGGGAAAACTTCAAGCTTAAGAAATTTATCTTACAGTTTTAAGAATTGAACCAGAAAGAAAGTATATTTGGAGTGTGCTAATAAAATGAATAAAAATGCTCTCCAGGCTCTTGGTTTTTCATATTTCATTTCAAACACAATGCCTGAAACTCAGTTTAACAAGGTAAAGTTGTCTGAATCAAATAAACATAACATAAAATAAAGCCCTTAGTGAATAATGAGTCAAAAACAAATACTTTTTGGTTTTCATATTTTCTCCCTAGGATTTTCTGATCATAAAGGATTTCTTAGTCTCTTCTCCCTCTAGTGGAAAGGGGAGAAATAACCTTTCAATGAGATCTATTGCAGTGTTATAAAAAAGCCTCAAGCAGGGCCGTCCGAGTGGCGAGTTGGTTAAGAGTTGGCTTGGGAGAGCCAGCTCTGCAGGACCCTGGTTCGGATCCCACATGGGCCAGTGATGCTGCGCCCTCTACAGCTAAGATGGTGAACAACAGCTCGACCTGGAGCCGGGCTGCTGTGAGTCGCTGGCAACAGCATAGGCTGCAGTGGGGCTGCAGTGGGCTATGGTGAGCTACTGTGAGTGTCTGGCAGTTGGCGTGAGCTGCTGTGAGCCGCAGTGAGCAGCCGTCCAATGGCCGCGAGTGACTGCCTCACCCAGGAAGAACGTAATGATAATACCAACATGGGCCAGTGAAGCGACATCCTCCACAACTAGACTGAAGAACAAAAGGACAACAACTTGTCTGTTTCCCTTCCCCAATTCCCCAATGCTGTTCCCCTCCCCCAATTCTCCAATAAAATCTTAAAAAAAAAAAGTTTCAAGCAGATCCTGAAAAAATGAAAAATGCTTACTTTTAAGTCTAGCTTTTTCAGCTGGATCCAGGGCAGCCACAGGCTCAGAAACACGAGATGGTAAACCTATTCCAGTTTTATTCACAGCTCGAACTCGGAATATGTAAGAACGACCTTCTATTAATCCAGTGACTGGGAAACGAGCAAACTTCACAGGTGTGTCATTGCATTGAGACCAACTGTCTGTGCCCACCTCACATCTAAAGGAAAGAGAGTGATTGACAAGAATATTAAAAGAAGTGTGGCTACAGGGCTGGCCGTGTGACGCATTGGTTAAGCGTTGGCTTGGGAGGTCTGGTTCAGCAGCAGGGAGGCGATTCGGATCCTACATGGGACAGTGACGCTGCGCCCTCTCCAGCTAAGATGGTGAACAACAGCTTGACCTGGAACTGGGCTGCCGAGAGTCACCAGTGGCAGCGTAGGCTGCAGCGGGGCTGCAGTGTGCTGCCATGAGCTACCATGAGTGGCTGGCAGCCAGCATGAGTGGTTAGTAGCTGGCATGAGCTCCCGTGAGCTGCTGTGAGCAGCCGTCCAGTGGCCGGCGATCGACTGCCTCACCCGGGAAGAGCGCAATGATAATACCAACATGGGCCAGTGAAGCGACATCCTCCACAACTAGACTGACGAACACAAGGACAGCAACTTGTCTGTTCCCTTTCCCTGATTCTCTAATGATGTTACCCTCCCCTAATTCCCCAATAAAATGAAATCTTAAAAAAAAATAAGTATGACTAAATTAATAACTCCAAACCCACCCCATTGCTTCAGATCTTCTTTCTATAAAATATCTAGGCCAAGTGTAGTTCTATAGTTATTTAATTGTGGGTACACAGTTCCACTCAATGGCGATATGTTTTCTTTAATAAGAAGAAAGAAGCCTCATATCCTTCCTGTACACATATGTGTCCTTTGACCTCACTAAAAGCAGGCAGCTGAAGGGTGTTGTGTGCTAAGCAGAGGAGTTTTGGGGGAAGAAGAAAAAGCAAGCAGGTATGTACAGCCTTTACACTGGCTAGACAAGGGAGAGGATCCCCAAACGTCTCCCTGGCTGATGTCTTAAATTCCACCCTTAGTGGCTTCTTTAGGCATTTTCTTTTAAAAATGAAACTGCTGTTGAGAAAGTTAACACCTTAAAAAATAACTCTTTGTACTGTAGTTTGGGAAGAATTCACTCGATGGTCACTACATGTTGAGTAGGTGGGAGGGCGAAGAACATACTGCAATATATTTGTTTCTTAATAGATGAGATTAATGAGCTGCAGGGGAAGTTTAAGTACTTGGAACCTCAGATTTATAACTGCTTTTACAGCAGTTGATGCCTGGGGATGGAGTGGCTACACTCCAGGAGACAAAGATGACAGTTCATATGATGCTATTGGTGTGATCCACAGGGCTTTAGGGGCTCAACATGTGATTGAAGTATACAGCACTAGGAATAAGTAACTCATCATGTTTGTGAGCAGAGCACTACACTTTTAGTTTATACCATTTTCCCAACACAGCTTTGTGTTCAAAATGTGTAATTCCCAAATGATTTTCATGGGGGAGGGGGTTGCCAATGGTAGTGCAAAGATGGTTGGGGTCGGGGGTTTATCTTCACTTCCTCACCATCACCCTTTCATTCAAGAGGTAAATATTTTCCTCAACCTTATCTAAAGTGCTATAAAATATGGCTTTAATCTCTACCTTTCCATGCACTTTCCCCTAAATCTTCCTTTGTAGAAATTATGGAGCTGCTATGAATGGGGCGTGGGAGGGAGCTGAGAGGGCTAGGACACTTCTTCAAACTGTCCCTGTCTCTCACTCCATGCAGATATTGTTGTGGAGACCCAATGACCCTAGAGCATAGTACCTAGCCCTCATTTGGGCGGAAAAAAAGTGGAGAGCAGCTCCTCTGGAGACATCTGCAGCATGGTAGAGCAGAAGGAACACAAACTTACAGCCAGGCTGCTCTTTGAATTCTCGTTCTGTTAGAATTACACTGTGTGACTTAGTATTTCCTCAATAGCATGTAGCCTTGGGTCAGTTACTCATTTCCTACTTGTAATAATAGTACCTACCTTTCAAAGGATGGTTATGGGTTAGTGGTTAATATATGTGAAGTGTTTAAAACAGTGCCATGCACATGACAAATGCTTAATAAATATTAGTCATAATATGGTTATTCTTATTACAACTGAGGCAAGAGAAAAACAAAATGTACTGATTGCCTCTAATCTTTTACTGATCAAAGTTTACAAATCTCTTTAGAAATTTGCCAAAGACAATAAGGCAGTAAAGATGATGAAAAAGAATCTATCTAACACTTCACGGTTCATCATTACTAAAAGATGAACTAATATAGAAACACTTAGTTTACAATTAAACCACAAATAATTTATTGTAAATATTTCTGTGGGTGGTATTGAGTCCAATAGATATATATTTACTTATTGCTATAAATATTAGGTTTACTACACCTTGGTACAACCCCACTGTACCATAGCAGCACAGGTCATGTGTCCCTAATGTTTTTGGTTTTTACAATTAGATTTTATTGCTCAAAAATGGAAAGAGAATTGGAGCAACTATTTGAATAGAAACTAAGTCAGACAATAGTGTATTTAGGTTGATAATATAAAATTATTGTCTATGTGGTCTGAACTCACTGGATAATTAATGTGTAAGACTTAATTACCATAAATATTAGAGTCTCTAAGTTTGGAGAATATAAACAGTAAGAACTTATAGATAGAATGTAATTTAATACTATTGATATTTATTTCTTTGTCTAACTTGAAACCACTTCCTGCTATGTAAATAAGATTTTGTTAGTATTCCTAAAGTATTATTTTTTTACTTGATATTCTTAAAGTACTGAAATACTAGGAATATGGACATTAAATATATTGAATACCGGCTATTTCATTTCCAAAATGGTCTCTATTAGGTCTACAAATTCATAGTATTCTTGTCAAATTAATGACTTGTGCTGGTAGTAAAATTCAAAGATTATCGTTGGAATTTAGGTATATCTATATCATCTATCTATCTATCTATCTATCTATCTATCTATCTATCTTTCTATCTATCACCTATTGCCTATTGAGAGAGAGAGAGAGAGGCGCAGAGATGAAAATACAGAGAAAGAGAGAGAAGAGACCAGAAGAGAAAACATTTCACCTAGAAATGGTGGGAGAAATCAAGCATGTATTATTATGGCCAAATAGTGCTAACTAAAATTAGACTAAGTACTAACTTATCAATAAAATATCCCAGGATAGGACTCCCTCCATCCACAGCTGGCTGTTTCCAAGAGATGATGATATAATCTTTGTTGGCATCCAAGGACACCACGTCCAAGGGGGAGGCTGGGGCTCCTTCAATCTCTGCATCAGCATCTGTGGAAATACAGAAGGATCCCATTAGTTCTCTCAGCTATGCCCTGTCCTCTGGCAGGCTGAGGTCTTGGTGCACACATTTTTTACCACACCACTACAGTGGCTACATCTTTGGCTCCAGTAGAGCAAGCTTCAGTCTTGTAATTTGCTTACTAACATAACAGTGTGTGTTTTCATCATCAGTATGAAAAACATTATGTTAGAAAGGGCTCTGACAAGGACCCATGACCTTTGCCTCATGGCCCTTGCCTGCTCAAAATGTTCTAAAAGAAAATAAATATGTAGATGTTAGGGATTGCTATCATAAAAGTCTAATGTAAGTTGTGCCAGAAAGCCTGTTCTTAAGATAATTATTGTGTAATGTTACTCAGAAACTATGAATGGCTCCAAAGGGAAACAAACAGCCCCTCTGTCACCTTCTGGGTGCATCCACAAGAGAATAAGAACCATAAAACTTTGCCCATCCCTATGCTAGGCACTACCATTTTGGAAGAAAAAGGAAAATATTCATTTTAGTCAAATATTTGTGCCCAAACTGAAGATACTTGCAAAAGGAATTCTGATGCAATACCCATATCTGAGCTTAGTTTATCTGAGTTTAGTAAAAGTCCAGGATTATACAAGAAACAGAGGACTGTTTATGAAATGGGATCCTCTGACAGTGGGGTGCCCTCAGCTGGGTCTAAACTGGTTAATCAGGGAGGTTTTAGGAGGAGAGGAAGGAGAATAAAAATAATCAGTTAGTAGCCTTTTAAGTGAGAACAATTAAGACAGGAGGCAGAATCCCTGAGGGAGCGAGTCCACATTTGTCAATTCCTCCAAACATCTGGTCAACTCTTTCATAACCAGAGTTAGTAGGGGAGCAGGCTGACACATGTAGGAGCCACTTACCCGAGGGAAAACAATCTTCTTGTCTGAATAAAAGCTTTCTTTTTCTATCAACTACACTTGTGCAACTCTTACGAGCTACTAAAACATTTGATAACATTGCAGAAATATTTGTCTGTTTCTGAATTTAATAGGTTCACATTACCTGTGAAGAGCTCAAGTTACTTTGTTTTTGAACTTCCTGTTTCTTGCCCCATGAACCTGTAGGAAGGTGTCCCTAGGTAAATGTGTTCTACATAAGAGCTATTGGAGAACGTAACTAATTGGTGCCTAAAACTTAATGCAGAATGCCTGCATGCCACCCAACAGGGAGGGAGCATTTTGGTGGGGAGAAACTTCTTTCATTCTGGGCTTTGAGAGCATTGGATGGGGATGAGGGCCAGCGGACGGTGAAGGTAGAGCAGAGCTGGAATGGACATAGAGATGCTGAGGTTAACAGGACTCGGGGACTGCTGGAAAGCCATTCAGCTGCGGGAGGGACAGCTGGCAACCACTAGCCATGTCCTTCTGCTAAAGGCCCATAATGTAACAACCAGAACTCCTGTGTTGATGGAGTGGAGTTCAGTTCACTGAGCAGCCATTGGATGTAATAGCCCGGCAGACACTAGGCATTTTGTAAAATTGCTTAAAATATGCCATTGGTGGGGTAGGCTTGACAATCTCTCAAAAAACAGGTTCTGCTTAACAGCTGCTTGAAGCCAAATCCAAATACTGTGTTATGTTACTGCACATTTGTGCCCTTGGCTCCCAGCAGCTGCTATGGACTATCTGGCCCACAGCGCCCATTCAGTCAACTTGAATACTTTTCTAAGGCTCTGTCCTTACTTCTCCCAACCCTCCAAATAGCCAAACTTTGGGTAGGTTTGATTAATTAGATCAGAGATTAGCCTGATGCTCTTTATATTTTGACCTCCGACACAGGCTATTAATAACTTTCTTCAAAGTGTAAGTAATTCTATTATTTATCTCTGTTATAAAAGTAGTACATGCTTGTAAAATATATAATAAAAAATATACATGAAAATCTTTAATTCCATAATTCAAAGATTACTACTAACACTGGCCTATATTTTTCTAGATTTTTTTCTATATTTATAACTCAAAAGTGGTTGCTTTTTAAATAAAAATAGAATGGGACTATATAATTTCATGTAAACTGTTTTTTCTTGATGTATTTCCATATCAATAAATATAGGCATATATCATTCGTTTTCATTGCTCTGTGGTATTCTATTGTTTATATGGAGTATTTATTACACTTTATTGTATAGATCCCATTGGTAGATATGTAGATTTCTTCCCAATACAAACATTTTTTTCAACTTTGTCCACTCAAGTTTCTAGAACTAGAATTGTTGGAAATGTGCCCTGTTGCTATGTAGTGGCAAAACACCATGAGAAAAGTTGAACAGATTAACTATACTCACCACAATGTATAGGAGTGCTGGTCCCTCCATTCCTTTATCCCAGTGAATTTTTAAAATCTTTTAAACCTTTTCAATATGTTAGATTAAAATATTATATCATTTCAAGTCACATTACTTTGATTACTAGTGAAAACTTTTTCATGTATTTATTTGCCATTTGTAATTTTTCCATGACATTTCTAAACCATCCTTTATCATCTCATTCCCTCTCCCTCTCTCTTTGTGTGTGTGTGTGGGGGGGGGGTGAGGAAAGAATATGTAAAAATCTAGAAGAATTGTAATAAAATAATAACATTGGATATCTCTGGATGCCAGACATATGGATGGCTTTTCTTTTTCTTTTTTTTTTTTTGCTTATTTATATTATCTATTGTTTCACAAACAACACATATTGTCTATGTAATAAAATCCTGGCCAAATGCATGCAGCTCTGTGTTTGTGCAGACATATATATATATATATATATATATATATATATACGGTGCTGATCACTCTGGTTCAGAAGCTATTTTCTAAGCTACAAAAATACCAGAACTCTAAAAAATGCATTGAAATGTCCTTATGTAGCTCAATGGATACAAAGTTTTAAAAAATACATAAAATGTCATTTAAAACACATTGGCAGTTTCTTAAAGAGTTAAACATAAATTTAATATGTGACCCAGCAATCCTACTTATAGGATCTATCCACCCAAGAGGGATGAAAACCTAGGCCCATGTTTATCAACACGGATGCAAATTGTTCATAGCAGCATTATTTGTAATACTCAAAGAGTGGAAACAATCCAACTGTCTATCAGCTGGTGAATGGATAGACAAAATGAGGCATACCCATACAGTACAATACTAGTCAGCAATAAAAAGGAATAAACTACTATCGTAATGAACCTCAAAACATATGCTCCAGGAAAGAAGACAGGTGTAAAAGATCATATATTATATCCAGAAATGTCAAGAAAACACCAATCTATAGAGATAGAAAATAGATTAGTGGTTACCTAGGGACTAACCTGGGGTTGAGTGGGGAACGGGCACAAGAAATCTCTTTAGGGTGATGAAAATATTATAGAAATGGATTGTGGATGATGGTTGCACAACTCTATAAATATTCTAAAAAGCACTGTCCACTTAACATGGTTGAATCTTATGGTATGTAAGTTACATCTCAATAAAGATTTTTTTAAAGGAATCTAAAACATATCATTTAAAATAAACTCATGAGGGATATCTTTTTCTAAAAGGTGTTATAGTCACAACGTAATGGCTGAAATTTGTCTTTCCCACTTATTTTTTCAATTTTCTCACATCAACATCCGACAAATTTTAGAATCTTTCCATTTCCTTATTTTGTGGATTTGAAAACTGGCTTAAGTATAAATTTCAAATTTCAATCCCTTCCCCTTGTCTACAGTTAGTTATGTGAAGTCTGGCCTAAACCTGGCAGAAAGCCACAATTCTAGGTGTAGGTACTCAGAAATGTTGTTGAGAAAACCCTAGACTATAAGAGTTTCCAGAAAATGTCCACCCAGGCATAACTTAATTTTTTTTTTGAGTTACCAGAGATACTCTCTGGTTCAGGTAAGACAACTTGGGAGCAAAAACGAAGACTGCTTATTTAGTCCTCCTTTAGCCAGGTTTATCCAGGTGGTTTCGCTAAACAAACTTGCTGATAAATTCCAGTATGTCTGCTTTCACTGCAGTTTACCTAGGAAGCTAGTTTTTTTTCTTCCCTTGGTGATATCTGACTTTCCCCATAGTGCTTTTGTGTAGAAGAAAATCTAACACATTTTCCGGTTGGAATAGATATTCATGTATCTTTATCAGTTGCTGGTCAGTGGCAGAATTCAATGATCATTTGTAATTGTTCAGTACTTGTGTGGTATAGACCGCTAGCTGTCCCCAGTATCTATCTATGCTTCCTGTTTCTTTTTAGATTGATTTGGCCTTAGTGTTGTAAATATACTTGGGTGTTCTGATTTTTGTTAGGTCTTACCTAGAACAAAGACATAAGCACTATATTGTTCATAATATTCCCCCATTCGTACACGAATTGTATAGAGGCCTTCATCTTCTTTGTTGAGATGAGAAAATGTCAGTGTTGCCCGATCTCCACTCCAATGTGTTTGCACCCATTTTGATGAAGAAACAGGTGATCCTGGGGGGAAAAAGTCAGCAAATTAACAGATTTTTCCCTTTTACTCCCTTCTTCCTCTTTCCCTTCCATTCCTCTCTCCCTCCCTCTCTCTTTCTTCCTCTCCTTCCCACCCACCACCTTTTTTTTGTCTTTCTATTCCCCTTCTATACTGAAAGCTATTTGACTACTGGAGGAAGTCTCTCCAGCTTTGAGCTATTCTACCATCTTTATATTGGTAAAAATACTAGATCAGAAGTGAGGGGCCAGTGCCAGATACATAATCTACAGAGCCCAGTGCAAAATGAAATTGCAAGGCCCTTTCTTCAAACAGCAGAGAAAAAAAAGTGCAGTTAAAGGTACTAAAGTATAAGGTTTTTTCCTCTAAAAATTGTTTTTTATAAAATGTAATAGGGATAATACAAATTGCAAAAAATTATATTCATGCCATAATTTTATAGAAATAATTATTAATGTGATATCTTGATTGATAATAAATACTTCTGGCTTGTTTTTCTGCAAATTCAGTTATTAGGTCATCAAATTTATATTTTTAGCAACTTCATTTTAAATGGATATAATTGAAAGCAACATCAGTCACTCTTTGCAAATACAGGATCACAAATGAGTTTTGATCTTTTTTTTTATTTTGAAAAATATCTTTCTGCTGATGCAACTATTATTGCAGTTGTTAAGAGTGTTATATTGTTATAGTATTACATATTTTATAGTATATAGTATTGCAGTTATGGTATTATAAAGTTAATATTAGGTTAATTTTCTGATAAACTATTTCAAAATATAAATCTTAGTACTGTAGAGCTGATGATTCTTGAGGAACAATTTTTCTAAAAAGATTAAACTCTTCATACAAATTAGTTTCATGTAAGTCTGAATATAATTTTAAAAGTAAATTTACATAATTACATCTTAATGTTTTCTCTTACCTGTCCTGTAACTTGTGGAAGTCATACAAGAAACTGAAAATGATTTCATGATTTGTATACAATTCAAACACCTGTTTATGCATTCTATCACTATATCTTTAATTAAGAGGGAAAAGTAATTTTAAAATTGTCTTCCTTGTTAATAATTGCTTCATCCAAAGTCATATAAAAAGTGTTCTTTTTCATTGAATGTGACAATCTTTAAACCTAATTTCTATTTCTAAGCCTGAGGATAGTTGCTTTGCAATGTGGCATTTTTCATAACCAGGGTTCTAAACTCTGAAGAATTCTAACAACTGCCTTATGTGTTTTATTGCAATGTCTATATAAAAGCTTTTATTTTATAATATTTTACTGACAAAGTTTACTGCCTGACTGCCAGCAGTTCCTGTCATAGCACTCAAGCCAGGAGGTTAATATTTGTGTAGCTCCCACAAAGATGATTTCTGGGGATGGACAGGTAAGCTGGTTTCCCACTGTGGGTGCTTTGCCACCCCCATGAGGGGTCCCTCCGCTTCTCTAGGACCATGTTCACCATCAGTGCTGCTGCTGCTGCCACTGCTGCCATGGTGACTTCAATATGGGCCCAGGTCCTGGTCCCAGCCATTGCCTCAAGACCCCATGGTGCTGCAGAATGCACAGCCAAAGTTCAGGCAAACTGCTTGATGAACACGCTGCCCAATGGGCATATTCCATAGTACCACAGGACTTCACTAAACTTCACTTTATTTTACCAAATAAAATTAACTTACAAAATGAATATATATCCAACTTATAAAAACAAAAATACATTTTTTGTAATCCTTTCCACGTATTACTAGATGATAAGAAATTGTAATATCCACAAATATATTATTCAAGTTCTGCTATTTTGATATATGTGTAAAAACTTTTTTAATATCCAGTAGGTTTGGTTATGCCCTCGAATGTCCAGATTCTGCCAGCTCTGATGAACAGGTCTTCAGCCTTATGGGCATTCATGCTTTGATGCCAAGCCCAGTCTGTGACCTTCCGAGAATAAGAACCTAAGTGAAAATTCATTATACAGGCTCACCATTTCTGAACCACTGGATCTCAGGTTGGAAATGTTTAATTTCAGGAGTGATAACTACACGGCAGCCTAGACTTATTGTCTCGCCCTCTCTCCCAAAAGACACATCAAACTTCTCATCAAAGTGGATCTCAAACTTGGACGCATAGCCATAAGGGGTCACGGCAACTGGGGAGAACAAAAACAAACATCAGTAATTTATTTTTTTCTCATCAAAGAGACACAGCGTTTCAATGAGAACAGGCAGAGAGCAGTCACAACAAAGCCAATCAAATGATTTATCTGGGCAAAAATTAAGTCTTATGAAAGAAGTACGTAGCACATTCACATATATCATTATGTGAAATGGATATTCTGTGTATGAAAATTCTTGCTTCATTGGTCAGCAAAGCTAATTTATAATTAATAGAATTTGGAGGTCAGATTTAATGTCTTACATAAAATGTAAATTAATACCCGTTTAGCTTAGATGTAAATAGTTAAGCTGCAATATACATAGGCACTTCTTAATTTTAGATTCTGAGTTCATTTAAACTCTATTGTTTGTACTCTTTGGTCAATTACTAATAAAAATAGAGTTTTCTGGTAAGTTGTTTTAGTTTCTTTAATGATCTGAGTAAAACAATACATATTATAAGAAATGTCAATGGGAGAAAACTGAAAATTTTTAAATATTGTATGTTTAAAAATATTTTTCTTAGAAATGTCTTATTTATAGATTGACTAAATGCCTGCATCATAAACTCTCCCAGGTTTTATGTTCTCTTTTGTCAGGAAAGGGCTTAGGAAAATAACAACTATTTATTGATGGGCTATTATATGCCAGCATGCTACATTTGACATGTCATCTAATCCTTGTAAAATCCCCATGGTATAGATATTAGTTTTTCTTCTCTTTCAAATGGAGATATAGACGTTCACAAATATACAGCTACTGCCAAGGTTTCAAAGGTATCATGTATGAAATTGAAATTCAAATCCTTAACTGCCCAACTTTTAACACTTAAGCCCTTTCTCTCATGTCTCATGTCTCTTCCTAACACTTCTTAGTAATAATTTGAAAAGGCAAGCTAACATTTATTGAGTCAACTGTGCCAAGTATTGTTCCAAGTGTAGTATCTATTAACTTAATTAAACCTCATACTAACCCTATCAGGTAAGTACCATGATTATCCCCATTTTATAGATGAGGAAACAGGCAGCATAGGAAGGCTAAATAACTGTCCACATTCACCCCTCGGAGCTAGGATTTACACTGGTGGGCTCTTGCTAGAACTTGTGCTTTCAACCAATACATGGTATTGCTTTGCATATGTGTGCGGCCAGGCAACCACAAACCAATAAGGTAATAACTCTTTGAAGCATGTCCCATCTGCCCCACTTCTATATGAGGATGTCCCACTGAAATAAAGAAGCAAAACCACTTGATCAGACCTCGCTCACTGGGAAGCTGGACTGGTTCCAAAGCTGCCTTAGGAGTAGAGATAAGGGTTACAGTAGGCCTGAGGTTTAGGGGTTGGCAACTCTGTGAGGTAAATCTAGACTACCTCTTGTTTTGTACCATGAAGAATGGTTTTTAATTTTTTTAATGGTTGAAAAAAATCAAAAGAAGAAGAATATTTTGTGACCTGTGAAAAGGGATGAAAATTCTAATTCAATGTTTATAAATAAGATTTTATTGGAACGCAGCCATGCTCATTCATTTACCTCCTGTCTACGGCTGCTTTTGTGTTACAATGGCAGAGTTGAGTAGCTGTGGCAGAGATGGTGTGGCTCACAAAACCTGAAGTATTTATAACCTAGTCCTTTGCAAAAAATGTTTGTTGACCCCTGGTTTAGAATATGGTTTATAATTAGAAAGACCAGGTTACAAGTCCCTACCCTACCTCTATATGTGGCCTTGTCCCATGGTTTAACTTTTCTAATCTGCTTCTCCATCAGCATAGCACAGATAAAATGGTACCTATTTCATAAACTTTGGGAGAGCATTAAATGAATCAATGCATATAAAAAAGTCTTAGTACAGTGTTTGGGACAATGAACAATACATATAAATACTAGAACAGAACCAAGGGCAGGAAGCTTTGTATATAATAGTTACCATTATATTCCCAGTATCTCGCACATAGCAGATACTCAATAAATATTAGCTGAATGCATCAATAAGAGTCCTCTGTTTTCTATGTTAGGAACAATTGCACTCAATTGTTCAAGGGCCAGTCAGAGGCTCTGACTGAGTGCAATTGAAGTTGGCGAAGTAAGGTTAAGCTGGGCTTTCGGACCTTGACTTGATGGAGAAGAGGGAAATAGGAGAAGCACGGGTGGTGATATGGCAGTGAGAATGAACAGGATACATTCAGAAAATTGTGGAATGATCAATACATCAGTCTTGGGGACATTGGAAGATAAGTCGTAGTTTCAGAATTTCCAACTATGCCATCTCAATCAAATGATAGGAGAAGCACATGGTTTGGAATGTTTCCCCCACTCACTCCCACTCATCATCCCCTCTTGCCCATGGGATTGATACCAATTGTTATAACTTGGAATATTAAAAATAGGAGCTATTCCATGCAGTTGATTTAGTAGGTCGCCTGCAGACATCAAACTAACCAGTCAGGTGATAAACTGACCCATGAGAAAGTATCTTCATCAACCATTTTCAAAACTATCACTTATTTTTTAATGTTTGGAAAATAAGAAGTTAGGGCTTGGCTACCTTTTTTCACTCTGACTGTTGTAGCATCTAATTATTTGAATAACCATAAAGATTTTACTTTTATTGCTTCCCATGAAAAGAAGTTCTGATTTAGATGAAATAATTGAAGTTCACAAATTCACAAATTACCACTGATTGGAATTTTTAATAGCTTGCTATTTAACCACATTTAGACTTCCTTTTAAATTGTACTTCATAAATTAATGTATTTATTCATTCATTTTTGTACAGCTACTCTGTGTCAGGCACTAGGGCTTAGAGATAAAAGGTCCAGCATTGCCTTCAAGTGGGTCATGGGCCAGTGGGACAGAAAAACATATAACAATTAACAGTGTCCAGTGCAATGTTCTTTTGGAGGTGTCATGGCCTCACAAGGGACACCCAACCTGACTGAGTGGGGATGGAGGTGGGCAGTGAGGGTCAGGCATGGATTTCTCAAGGAGGTGATGCTGACATGTATATTTAAGGATGAGTAAGACTGCTCTAGTATAGTCCAGACTTGCACGCATGCCTGCGTGTGTGTGAGCGTGTGTGTGTGTGTGTGTGTGTGTGTGATTAAATTACTCTGCTCAGGTTTGTGTAATGATCTTTCTCAGTTTAACACAGAAAGACTTAAAAGCATTTGTAACTTTTAGCCCATCACATTTGGGCTTTTATAAAACCAAAACAAAGCAACTATATTCAGAAAGAGAATAGTAACGCTAGAATCTAAAAAAATGAAACAAACCATAGATGTCTATTATACACATACTAGCATATAATATATACTATGCATTTATTTCAGCATTATAGAAGATCTTATTGTACTGTATTTTAAATGGAGATGACACTTAGCAAATATATTGTATATTTTTAAACTTACAGCTGAGGGGCAAGGTGGAAGCCCCAGCATGGAAGCGAGTCTCATCAAACTCTCCCTTATATCCTAGAAAAAAAAGCAGAAATTCATTTGAACTGCTTCTTGACTTATTTATTTTTTAGCAATGTGAATAAATTTAAAAACAATACATTTTGAATAAAACAAGTTCATCAAACCTACTCTTTACCACAACCGAGGCATATGCTGAAAGCTCTCCTTTAACATTCATTGCCGAGGCCCGGTACTGAGCAGTGTCTTCAAAGTCACATCTGAAAGAACGTATAGAAATGAGTGGACATCACAGTGACACTCTTTGAAATTACTGGCTTTTCCTTCAAGGATCTCTTTGCTGCCTTGTCACACTGCAAATCAGTGGCTAACCTGTGGTTCTTTGGGGCTTATGATGAAGCTACTCTTTCTGATCTGGCTCCTTGTGGGATCTTATATAGTCCAAGAGATTTATAGCAGTTTCAGGCGAGTAGCACAGAATGGGAGAAGATCTATAGTCCACTGTGATCTCAGCCTGAGTTCATTTATAATGTCAAAAAAAAAAAGTCAGCAAAATGCTAAGCACATAAATTACAGCGTGAACAGCATTATGAGCAACTGGAAGCAGTCTCCCTGCTGGCCTCCCTCAGGGTCGGTTTCAGTTGGGTGGTGACAGGGCAACTAGAGGGAAAGGAAATGCGCCTCCTTGTAGACTTCCACAGTCTTCTTGAGCCACAAAGCACATCCAGGCTGGTAAATGTGTGGTTCTGTGTTCCAGCCTCAAAGCACAAATAAGTTATTTATCCCTTAATTCCACTAAGGTTCAGGCCACACTGGGAGTTTTGGCCCACAGCATGACACAAGAACTGCCATCTGGAAGTTGCTCTGGGTTATAACACAGAAATTGGGATGTCTTTAATAACGAAGTTAGGGAGACAATGATCTCACAGAGAGATGAACAGGCTAAGATTTCAAAGCAGGTTGTTTGTGTCTTACCGCCACAAGTGTCGATGTTATTCATTGTCCCTCTAAATTCAGTTTCATTCATATAAACATATTTCTTGTTGAAATTTTACAGATATCAATAGAACACCAGGAAGGTCAATATAGTTGTCTTTCTCATAATTATTTAATTATCAAGCAACCACATGGCTCACTGCTGCCTCAGTAGAACCACCGACTGGCAGAATTGATGTGACTTGAGATTAGGGCCAAGGCTTGGCAAATGTCCCAGGGCCCCAGGGCTCTGTTTGAAGCCCACCATCACTTGTGTCAACTATTGTGATCTTAGGAGAAGGCTATAAATCTCTTGAGATCAGAATAATGTAAATTTTACTTTGATATCGCAGCATGTCATGGTTTTATGTGAACTGAAAATGGTGGGAGCTTGTTCAACTTTTGTATCCACATAACTAGGCTTAGATTTCAAAACCATTCTAGAAGACATGATAAACCTTTGAGGACTTGGAAATTTTTATGTGGGTTCTACTTTCAAATTTTGCTTTGACCTTTGCTTTAAAAACATCCCAAAGTCCGTGCTGCCTCCATCTACAGGTTAATTGGGTGGGTGCATTGTTTCCAACAGTTCCTAGTGAGCAGAAAAAAGAAACAATTTCTTCTAGTCCTGCTTATTTTTAATGCCACCCACCCCAACCTCCATGGCCTTTACTGATTAAAGGCTAAGAGAGCGATGATGATGTTGATTTGGAACTCTGAAAGGATAACTGAATAAAAATGTCTATGTACATAACTTATTTTCTTACTAATGTCTAAGAAAAACTCTCCCATGTATAACAGGATAAATAAAAATATGCAAATTATTTTTTTCTCATCGTCTTTTACTAAATTCAAACGTAAGTTCACTTTGGGAGGTAACGTGGTCTTGGTAAGAATGAGCCGTGCCTATCACTCTTAAGTGTGCACTGAGAAAGCAATGCGTGTGGACACCCCCATTGTCATTGTACTGCACTGGGAACAAGGGAGGAGAGTAGCTGTTAACTATAGCAGAGAGGTGCCTCCCTGAGCAATTGTCTGGCAACACACATGGACCCTGATGTCCCCTTACGTGTTAATTTCCAGCGTGTGCATTCCATATCGACTTTCGATAATATACTTTCCAGGGTTAGCATGGACATTTATTGGCACCTGGTTTTTATACCTATGGGAAAATGGAAACAAGGCATAGTAAATTGAAGTGTAAATAGCTTCATGATTAAACACACACACACACACACACACACACACACACACACACACAATTGTTGTTCTTGGAGAAACACCTGTAAACACGGCATTGAGGTCAGCAGCAGTGTCTGTTCAATAAATCCAAATCTATGGTAGATTAAATAAAATAACTATAAATACAATAAAACTTCTTGATGTACTTGCTTTCCTCTTCTCCATCATAAAAACTACATTTAAGAAGCTGACTGTTCATAACAATGTGGTTGAATCTCTCATACATAATGTTGAGTGAAAGAGCCAGACACAAAAGAGTACATAGTACAATGATTGCTTTATATAAAGTACAAAATCAGAAAAGACCAATTCATGCTGCTGCTAGAAGTCAGGAAAGTGATTTCCTCCCAAGGGGAGTGGAGAGAGTGGGGGAGAGTGGACATGAAGGAGGCATGTTGGGTGCTGAAAATGTTTGGGGTTTTTATTTAGGTGCTGGTTACATGGATGTGAGCAATCTACAGAAATTCATCAAAGCTCTACATTTATATATAATATGCACATTTTTGTGTGCATATTATACTTAAATAACAGATCTAAAAAAAGGAAAAACTTGGCAATTGTTGACATGACAGAGGGGTGGTTGTGTTGGGGGTTTTTATTGTTAGCTCTCTATGTAGGATGATAGCAAAACATTCTTCCCACTAACATTCTTGCATTTCGTTAAAAAAAGAGTGTCATTGTATTGAAAGCTCATTATATTTAAGTGTTTTATTCTGTCGTAAGCAAGTACGGCCCTTGACTAGGAAGAACTTAAAATATTAATCAAGAAAGAAAACTTCCAATAAATAAAAGCTGAAAAGATTCCCTTTTTCCTACCCCTCCTTAGGCCTCAAAGGCTGGAGCTACAGGGTGGGGCCCTTCCTGAGACACTGTCTCCCAAGTCTACAAATGGCACCTTGATTCTTCTTTACCACATCCTCCTGGTCTCAATAGCCAGTGGCTCTGGTGCCAAACCAGACTCTCCTGTGTAAGCCAATTTCTGCCCAAAAGAAGAGGTGGATTTTATTTGTCTCCCTTTCAGATACCTCACTTTATGTGCACAAATAACATAACTAACACTAATAGCAATAACTGACAGAGAACATTTACTACAAGCCACGCAAGGCTCAAAGTGCTTTGTGAACAGATTAGTAAATTCAACCCTCACAACAACCACACAAGGCAGAGCTATTTTCAACATCATTTTCCAGATGAAGAAACCAAGGCATGGAGAGCTTAAATAACTTGTCCCAGCTCACACAGCTAGGAATTGCAGAGCTGGGATTTGAACCCAGGCAGTCTGGCTCCTGACAACACGTGATGCTTCCATTTTCCAACTGTTCTCTATTTAGCTGCATTTTATTTCTTGGAAATGGTTATAAAGGGGTTTGGGATCAGGAAAAGTGGTGGAAAGGGAGAGAAAGAAAGGAAATACTCTTTAGTCAGTTCCTTCCTCTTTCCCAGTTGCACGCACGCACACATATGTGCACATGCTCTATGACCCTAAACCACAATTATTTTCTATACTTTTTTTTTTTCAGCTGAGCCATCCTGCCACCTATTGGCAGCTTAGCAGCAGCTCAGCTCAGGCCAGGCATCGAACCTCTGTTGCTCAGAGCTCAAACTCTTGAGTGAGCTCTTAACCAACTGAGCCACTCGGCCGGCCCTTCTATACTTTTTAAAGTGTATCATTTGCCTCCATTTAGCAAAATTTTAACTCATCCTTCAAGGTTCAGATCAAATGCCACTTCTTCAATAAACTCTTCCCTGAAATCCCACACAATATTAATTGTTCCTGCGTCTCCACATCAGTGTTACTTGGCTCAAATTGCAAGCTATAACATTTATTAAATTAAAGTTGAAGATGTGTCAGTTCTACTAAGCTGCCAGTGCCTTGATGATGGGGACTGTGTCTGATCCATATTTGCTTGTATTCCCAGTCTCAAGGAAATATGAGTCATGGGCACATATTATGTAAATTGCTAAATTGGGTTGAACAGAATTATTGCCTAACACAATAGACTAATTGTAGTTTCATAACTTATGGCCATAGGTACAGAGAATTTGGGTAATTTAAAATAAGGAATATGAAGAAAGTAACTTGAGGCTCTTTGTGTCTCGGTTCCCTCAGATCTGAAATGAGAGGGCTGGACTCTCTTAACAAATGCAGCTGTGTGGCAGGCATAGCAGCATATATAACCTTCTACCCAACCCATAGAGACATTGCTAGCTATTTTCTGCCAGCCTAGAAGCGGCCTCAGACAGCTGTCTCACCACAGGACTCCAGGCAGACAGGACTATCCGATCAGCGATGGGCTGTAAAAAGAAATCTGCCGGCCGCTCCCAATTTCAAACATTTCTCGTTGTGATGAATGACAGGGTAGAACATGTTAATTGACATGTTTTTCTTATTGAATTGGTTTATGTAATTTCACACTCAGAAGCTACTGCTTGTTCAGTTTTTTCATGTACTGGGGTGTTTTAATAGTTCCTTTTAGCATAAGAAGAGAAATATGACACCAAAGTCTGATGCATGTGTTACTTGACCCAACAACTGAGTGACACTCGATTTGGCTTCTGACCAAAAAACGTTGTTCAGATTTGCATAAAGTTTGAGTTAAAACAGCATTTTGCAGCTCCCAGGGTTGCTTCACCATCCGTGCTCTCCAGTACTACTCCACTTAGTAACTTAATGTCTTTCCTCCAGCTAAACACCCATGAGTTTTTGTGACCACCTGGCATATAACATCAGTTTAAAACACAAACACACACACACACACACACACACACACACACACACACACACACACCATTTTGAGGAGCTTCTAGTCTTTCCCCTGGTACTCCAGATGTCAGTGTAAGAAACGCCTGTTTTAAAGCAGCAGACAAGGATTAGGTTAAGAAGCAATTCAATTCTCTCCTCCAAGGAATTCACAGAGGCACTTAGGTTCCAAGTCACTTGACACTAGCTGCCTTCAGTATTAAGTCAGCAAACAAAAGAAGGATTTTCAGGCTGCTCTGTATATGCTTCTCAGCTTGTTATTTCTGGAAAGTGAAATTCTAAACTGGCCAGTCATCAGCTAATTTTGGAGAGTAATCTGCACTCTGGGATTATTTGTCAAGAGGTTTCTGAAATTCTTGCGAATATTGAGATGTATACCATTTTCCTTATCATTTTCATGTAGAGTCTATGAACAGTTAAGGAGCTTCCATTATACTATATGTATTTCTAGAATAATACTCTTTATTTATTTGTGTAAAACACACACTCAATTCCCCTGAACAAATGTTTGTTTGGATATTGGACTGACTTTGATAACAAGGTTAACAATGAAAGTTCTTTGGTGGTGTAAAGCATGGTCAAGGAAAAAGGCTTCACTGTAATTTTTTTAATATCAGCAAACAATGCATGTCAAAATGATCTTTATCATGTTGAATCCCACTAAAAATGTGATTAATGCTTAGAACCCAACCTTATGTTTTGAATAAAGAGCTATTACCCACTTTAAAAACTAATTAGCTAAGAGAGATCTATCCTATTTGGATAGATTTGGGAATTATATAGATAAGAAAAAATCTAAAATGAAACCCCAAACCCTGATATTGGGAGGTAATTATAAATAATTTTGAATGTAGGTTGTTTTCCTGAGATGATATGGTAGAAACTGCTAAATTTAAATACATTGTGAATAACTATAATCTTGTAAACAAATTCAATACATGATTTTATTATGGAACTTATAAATTCTCATAATTTGCAAAAATAGAATAAGATTTCCAAATCTCTAGACTCTTCCTAAGATATTGGGTTGCCGGAAAAGTCATGATGCTTTTTCGCAAGGAAAAAAATATAAAAAATATACGTCATGACTTCTCCGACAGCCCAAGAGAAATTTCTCTTACTATTTCATTCCCAGGTTATGAATTATTACCATGCCTAATGACAGTTTCTTTAAGTGTCCGTTTGCTGATGACTTTAGGGGCAATGTGAAGAATTCACACTAGCTCAGCTCCAAGTCCAGTCGCCATCTAGCTGCCCGTTGGCAGCTCAAGGCCGCTCAGCTCAAGGTGCCCTGTTCAATCTTAGTTGCGGGGGGTGTAGCCCACACCATTCCATGCAAGAGTCGAACCAGACACCTTGTTGCTAAGAGCGCACGCTCTAACCACTGAGTCATCCGGCCGCCACCCATTGGCAGCTCAGGGCAGCTCAGCTCAAGGTGCCGTGTTTAAGCTTAGTTGCAGGTGGGCACAGCTCACCATCACATGCGGGAGTCGAACAGGCAACCTTGTTGTTCAGAGCATGTGTTCTGGTGAGAGCACATTCAGAACATGTGCTCTCACCAGCTGAGCCATCCTGCAGCTCAGGGCAGCTCAGCTCAGGCGCAGCTCACTGGCCCATGTGGGAATCGAACCGGTGACCCTTAACCAACTGAGCCCTCAGCCAGCCCCCAGAGTTTCTTTATGCAAGTAAACAAAACACGGTCCTCCACAGAGGATTAGTTCCAGGACCCCCATGGATACCAAAATCCACAGATCCTCAAGTCCCTTCTATAAAATGATGTAGTATTTGCATATAGGCTACCATAGGGTATGCCTACACATCACTTCATTTGCGTGGGTCCAGCATAGTGCTCAGCACGTAACAAATTCAAGTTTTGCTTTTTGACTCTTTCTGAGATTTTTCCCCCTCGAATATTTTTGATCTGCTGTTGGTTGAAACGGTGGATGAGAAAGCTGTGGATGTGGAGCTTCCTGATTGTACAAACATAATTTTTGCCCCTTCCCTTTAAACCAATATATAGCTTATTATACATACTATTGTATAAATATAACAGCCTATTAAGCAGAACAACTTTGGTTTTCTCACGACATATATGCTTTCCCTCCTGTGTTGACAAGGCCCTCCTTCAGGATGGCCAGCTTCACTGTGATGGTGCAGCAGCGCCCCTCTGCAACTAACTTCTTACCCCAGGCTTAAACAGGCTTCCTTCTGTTCTCAGAGTGGGTTGGGAATAAGACAGTGCTCCTCAGCATCTCTGCACCTGGCTATGATAAGTGATGTGTGCCCCTGTCGTTTAGCACTCTCCAGGTAACCTCTAGATTCCATTTTGCTAGATTTGGTCAGTATGTGGGATTTGTCATAGAGCAGCTGCTACGTGTTCATATCATTTGTTAGACCTCAAGGATTCCCATGACCCGAGGGTACCTAGTGGAAACTTAGAACCAAACCATCTTTGGAAAGGGCTCCGAGGGAACCAGGCCCCAGGCACACATGTCTTTGAAAGATGTGGCTAAGGACCTGGTACAAGTGGAGGCAGCATGACTGCACAAAGCATTATCATGAACTTATTCCTATAATTTACCTCCTTCTATTCAGGAAGATCATTCTCAAGTATGTATTTCTTTCATGCTTGTTTTCAGTGTCAGGCCCAGGAAGCTGCAGTCGGGTACCAAAAAGGCATAAATGCCAGCGAAGTTGTCACCAACAACCTTGGCTCTTGCTTAGGTTGTGGGTTCTCTGCTCATCAAAGGGAAGGATGCTTACTGAAGATGGCACACGCTGTACTAGCGTTTCAAAGTTAAATTAGAGCTTCATTTAATGATTATTTTTTAAAAGGCAACAAACCCAGGAAGGTATACTAATCCCACATAGAAGTTTACTCCCAGGGGTAGATTTACCTTGGAGTCAGTAAAGCTGAAGTTTCAGGGTCTGTCACTAACACAGATCTCTGCAAGGCTCTACATGTAATTCATACAACTGATTTTTTTGTAAAGCGTGCTTACCAAATGGCATAAGCTTCATGCCCCACAAATCTTGGATCTGATTTGTTTATTGCCATAGCTAATTTTCAGTTATCTGCTAGCTGATTGTCCAAATTTCAGCTTTATCCAGGGGTAATCTTGCTCTCTGAAGCACGGTTAACTACTCTCTTAGTGGTCCCTTAGTTCTTTTGTTTTAATATTTACTTTTCACTTGACTTGCAAGGCGACAGGAATTTCTGTGAAATGCTGATCCATCCCTACTGGGAGAACGTTGGAGAAAGAATGAAGTTGTCTTCTCCAAGCACTAAAGGAAGTGTAGGTTCTAGAGAAGGCTTTTCCCAGTAAGTGAACAGCCTCCCAATTGTTCCTGAGACAAATCTTGTCTCTATATTTTTAGTTTTGTTTCAAAGGAGCCTCTAGGACATAAAATTCACATGATGAGGAAATAAATATTTCAAAGCCAGATATGAAAGTTTTGGAAAGAATCGTACTACTGCTCAGCTCCATTATTGAGAATAACTGGAAATGGACACTATTTCTATTTTGCAGTATAACTAGAATGCTAAGGGTTGACAATTTGATCATTGCAAATTTTTCTGGGGAGTTTCTATCTTCTTAGTTTGTTTTTAAATTACCCCTTCTCCAGCCAGCAAAACACAATGTAAGGAATTTAATCTCCAACATAGTTCGAGCCCTGTCTTTGTGGAACCACATCATTCTGGCTTAATAAATAGTACCATCGATGGTACTTAAGCATGTTTGTATTCTAGTTGCCGTGTATTTAACAGAATAAATAAATGCTCAAGAAGTTAACTTTTATCTCCCAGAGATTATTTTGTACCCTTTTGAAAATCACCTTTAACTCTAATTTTTTAAAAAGCAAGGGCAGCTGGGTGGCTCAGTTGGTTAGAGTGTGTGCTCTGAACAACAAGGTTGCTGGTTCGATTCCCACATGAGCCAGTGAGCTGCGCCCTCTGCAACTAGATTAAAGACAACGACTTGAGCTGAGCTGCCAGTGGGAGGCCAGATGGCTCAATTGGTTACAACGTGTGCTCTTAACAACAAGGTTGCCGGTTCAGTTCCTGCATGAAATTCTAGGCTGTGCCCCCCAGACAACAACTTGATTTGGAGCTGATGGGTCCTGGAAAAACACACTGTTTCCCTTCCCCAATAAAATCTATTTTTTAAAAAATAGCAGGGCTGGCCGAGTGGTTTCATTGGTTGAGTTAGTTTAAGAGCGTGAGCCAGTGAAGCTGTGCCCGACCTGAGATGCCACTGAACTGCCAACAGGCGGCAGGATGGCTCAGCAGGTGAGAGCTCGTGCTCCTAACAAGACTGCCTGTTCGATGGTGGGCTATGCCCTCCCGCAACTAAGATTGAACACAGCACCTTGAATTTAGAGGCCACGAGCTGCTGACGGGCAGCCAGATGGCGACTGGCACCCTCCCAACTAAAGTTGAAGAACAACAACTTGGCTCGTCCCCTTCCCCAATTCCCCAACACTGTTTCCCTCTGCCAATTCTCCAACTAAAAAAAGAAAAGCAGAAAAACAGAGAATATATCTACCTGATTAAGGACTCTGATTATTCATTTATTAATATTACTAGTACATTTGAACTTATGAAAGAAGAGGAGTTATTTTCACTGACCAAATAATATTTCTTAGAGTTGAAAATTTATTATTCTTTATGCATTTCCATAGGAAAGTTTGGATTTTTTTTTCGGGTGGAAAGAAATCCGTTTTTGAAGAGAAAGTGTCCTTTTAATAGGCCAAATTGTGCAACTCTATAGTCACAGGGAAAGGTAGGGCAAAGATGGGTTGATTCCTAATTTACTATAGTATACTTTTATACTTTAAAGTTTGTAAATTGATTTTTTAAAACTTTATTTTTATTGAAATATGTTCCTACATTTCTCATTTTTGTTTACTATAAATTATTCGCCTTGATAATAAAATTAGCTGACTTGGGGTTTCATTCTTTGGGTTTCAAACTCAAGAACCTTGAATTGAGTATACATACCAGAAAAATTGTAAGTAAATTCAATAATTTTAAAGAGATATTGATATCATAGGTGAGTTTTTAAAAACTCACCACCTCTTCCTTAAGACTAACCTTAAACAGGTAACTGGGTCTAGCTTGTCAGCTACCTCCGTTCATGCTAGCCAGGTGTGTGACCAACATTAGAGATAATGAGAAAGAAAGAAGGAGGTAGGTGCTCTGTGAGTGACAATGCCATTCGGTGTAGTGTTTATACTGCAATGTAGGGTACATTTCCCACCATTCTTGAGGGTAAGAAAATAGCCTGCAAAATACTTGTGTCAGAGAATAAAGTGGAAAACACCTTTTTGAGTTGGCTCAATCATTTTCATATTTCTGCTCTCTGTGGCAGACATTAATGACATACAACAGGAAAATTCTGAGTTCAGGGATCACAAAATCATTGACAATTGCAATAAGATATATAATGAAAGGAGTAAGGGGGTGCTTATTCTTTATGGAAAGAAAATTTCTTCAGGCCCCATATTGAGTAATATTTCCCATCAATTGCCCTCTTTTTTTTTGGTTTTAAAAAACACATTGTGACTTCACCTTATGTGAGGAGTAGAGATGGAGCCCTTTGGGTTTTAATTATTTTTTTAAAGGCAGTACTGCTTATGGTCACAAAATGATAGCTATATTTAATGGGAACAAATTTTTACAGTCCATAGCAATTATAGACACATATTTTTTTTGCATGTAAAAATGTTGGTGAAATCTTAACACTTTATATAAGATAAAGAACCATTGTATGATAGGATTATAAAGTATCATAATGCATCATAATGTTCTTTCTTCCCATACATATATTATACATCCCAGTATCCTTTCTTCACTATTTAAAAATTCTATACAAACTTGCAAATTCTTTCATTAATCCTTGCATATTTATAATGCTGAATGTTTTCACTAGAGGTAAAATTAACTTTGTATAATTGATTCTCTGAGTAGTTTTCATAAAGATAACATACCATGTGACACGAGGTTCTGGCCAGCCTGATACAGAGCAGTGTAATTTTACATTTTCTTTCTCCCAAACAGTGTGAGAACGAGGTTTAATGACAAACTCAGGAGCATGGAGAAGATGATCTTCATTCAACTTTCTATGAAATGCTTCAGTTTCTTCTAACTGAAAAAAAAAATCAGAACATTATGAAATCAAAGTAACCTGTATAGGGTGGCCAGGTGGCTCAGTTGGTTAGAATGCAAGCTCTGAGCAACAAGGTTGCTGGTTCAATTCCCACATGGGCCAGTGAGCTGCACCCGAACTGAGCTGCTGCTGCTGCTGAGCCGCCAATGGACGGCCGAATGGCTCAGCTGGTGAGAGCACACAGCAAGGTTGCAGGTTCGACTCCCGCATGAGATGGTGCGCTGAGCCCCCCGCAACTAGATTGAAAACGGCAACTAAATTTGGAGTTGAGCTGCACCCTCTGCAACCAAGACTGAAGGACAACAACTTGACTTGGAGCTGATGGGTCCTGGAAAAACACAATGTTGCCCTTCCCCAATCCCCCAAAACTGTTCCCTTCCCCAATTCCCCAATAAAACTTTTAAAAAAAAGTAATGTTATTAAAATAATAAGCAGAATCCAAAATCATCACTTTTCTATCTGAAGTCTTACTTTTGTATTTAAATCAAATGCATATTCCTTGCCCCTTTTTAAAACACGCACACCATTTAATTTTTAATACTCTAAGTCTGAGCTCCATTATTTTACTTCCCTAAAGTGGACTTCTTAAGGTTCTTTAGAACCTTAATTTCTGTAGAACCTAAAATTTCATGAAGTTTATAACTATTAAGTTTGTGTTTCTTTAACCTATGCATTTAGATGTCTTTCTCTTTGTTTTCTTTAGTTTCATTTCTCCACAAGATCGCATATTTATTCAAATGAAACAAATTAATCTATATCAACACACACACACACACACACAATGTCACATGTATTTCTACTTTTGTATGTTAATTAAATTATTTTCTTACTGTTTTTCTCAGTGACAGGTGTTCTGCTTTTTCTCGAATTGCAACTTTCCTCGACTTCTTCTCAAAAGCTTCCTCTTGGTGAAGAGTGGACATAGACTGTTTTGATACTGTGGACTGTTTGGATGTTGTGATTCCTTCCTCACTAGCAAGAAGATTCCTTTGGGCTATATAAGCAGCAGCTTCTTTAATTCTTTCTTCTTCTGTGTCTGTAACTCCACTGACATGCACTTGGCTAAAATATAATAATGGCAAAAGGTGGATATTGTGGATGGCAGTGATAAGATTGCCTAATTTTACTAAGTTCAAAGTAGCAGACCTCAGACATTGTGGTGCCCAAAGAGAATCTGATTGAAAAACTTGGTAAATCACAAGCTAATTCTTCACACATGGAAATGATCTTCACCTTAACAAATAATGATAACAACCGTAATAATACCTATTATGGTCCTGGTGCTTTGCCAAGTCCTTTTTATATACATTATCTCATTTTATCCCAACAACACTATGAGGTAAACTGTATCATTTCAATTTTAGATATATCGTAACAAGGCTCTGGGAAGTTAGGTAACTTGCCCAAGTTTATGTCCTTGGTTTCCTTAGTGTGTTTAAATATGATTGAGCCTATAAGAAAAGATTAAGTTATGACTTCCCTCTAGAAAAGATGATATTGTAAAATGAGATGCCGTTCATGTGCCTGTGATTCTGATACATGACTATGTGCTTATCTGGATTCTGTAACTCAGCTGGTGTAATGCATTGCCCAGAGCTGCTGCATGTATAGGTAAGTTCTAAATTTACATGAGATCCTTAGGCCTACTGGGTTTCTTTCTAAGATAATAAAGATTATGTGTGCATATATAGTGTATATATGTATATATGTACGCATGCATGTTTAATATGACAATCTTCATTTGTGCTTGCACATAGCTCTGATGAAAAGAAATGATCAAAGTCACAATTGAAGTCTGATATTTATAAAAGGGACTTGTTTTTCTTCATAATTAATGATAATGGCAAGTGAGTGGTAGTATCCAAAAGTGCTGTGCCTAATGTAGCAGTTTATGATAGAATTTGTGCTATGATTTATTAATGTTCAAAATACTTGGATTATTTTTAACCTCCTTCCATACCTTTGTTGTCAACCCCATTAGATGTTTCAGTGAGGGAGTATATTGATTATACTGAGATTCTTTTGAAATTGAGCCCCCTTATACCTCTTAAGGCAGAATTAATTGTACATTTGTTTTCTTATAAAAATAATTACCTCCAAATTTGAGCAAACACTGCTATTGTGTTAACAAATTCCTGGCTCCTGAAGCTATGCAGTTTGCTCAGGAACAGGACTCAACCTTTGCTCAAGTTCAGAACTTCTCATGGAATATTACTAAAACATCTGGTAGACATGACCAGTCTACTTGTTTCTTACTAAACTTGGTGATTAAGTGTTAATTTACTTGTCCTTATCTCTATCTCTCCAAATATTTATAATATAGCCTCTACTAATGAAGTCAGTAATATATCCACTATAATTTAGGGGGAGAAAAAAGAAGATGGAAGATTTTTAGCTTAGTGTCCTGACATAATTACCTCTATTCTTTTTTTAATGAGATTGGGAGTGAATGAATTAATAAGTTAATACAAAACAATCCATCATGAAAATGCATGGGATTCTCTATAAAGGCTAATATACAATAGAGAGATTTGAAATGAGCTTTTTAATATAGTACAAGATATATAATAATGGATTATATTCAACGTTAGTCTTGCCTTGAGTTGAGACAACTCTATGTAAGAGAACTTGAAGCTCACATTACTTCTAACAGTGGACATGTTGACCGCTCTAGAGGGCAGAATGGAGTCACAGTCTCCTTCCCTTTTCCATTTACAAGTAAGTTTAACCTCAAAAAAAAAAAACGCAACAACTCTATTTCACATGAGAACTCAAGTACACACACTCAAGAACAAATATATATAAATATATATATATATATATATATATATATGTATGTATATATATATATATATGTGTGTGTGTGTGTGTGTGTATATATATTTACCCAGGACAGCAGGGATATTCTCCTTTATGTAAATGTAAGTACATGTCAGTGATAACCCTGCTATTATCTGGATACAAGAAAATGATGCTAACATGCTGACAAAAAGACACTATTATCAATTTAAAATGAATTTAAAACCTCCCCAATACTCTCTCTTTCACAGTCTCAACCCAAAACCTGTTGTTGACACAGTAAAGTCAAATTATTAGAGAGTGAGAAGTAATTTTCAAATGCCATCCAGAGAAATGGTATTTTCCAGAAATGCATTATAATTACACAGTGCATGTAGATTGCATTAGCCAATCCTAAGGAGCCTCTCAGCTCTTCCACTACCAGCCAGTTGACTTGCAGCAGGTCAGATATTTGATTTCCTTCTCCAAAAATTGACATATTAATCCCTTTCCAAGGCTGTATTGAAGATTTAGCAAGACAGTTTATATAAGGCACCTAGTATGATTCCCAGAAAACAATAGGCACTCGACAAATGTTCATTTCTTTCCCATCCTCTTCTTAGATTGCTAACACTGTCAACACCATTATGAAATATTATTTTAGACATAGTAATAGAATACAGGAGATGGCTCCATAGAAAAAACAAAGGAGAGCTGGAAATAAAACGTGAAAGATAAATTTATGTTCACATTTTCTTTTATCACAATTATCATTTCTTGAGACCAGACTGGAAGAGAGAAAATGGTTTATAGGTAAAGGGCAGAGAGAAGACGGTAAGAAGCTTCATTTCATGTCCACACAGGTGGAGAGGCATGCCATGAAAGTTAATGCTAAATTGATGTAAGTTTTAAATGATTAATTTTAATAGGAAAAATGCAGAAAATAAAATATTTCACTTCTCTACCGTAGCCATCTCCTATAACGAATATAAGTGCATTTTAAACTAACTGTGAAGAGGTGAGACTGAGAAGGCATACTTAGTAATATAAGCAAGTTTCTCTGGAAAGTTCACTTTTAAAAATCAGATATCTAAAAATCAATGGTATCAAATAAAAAGCTAAAAATAGAATAGTATTTATCCCCTTACCTTCCTAATTGGGTTCAGAGCAATTAATGACATTAGTCTCTGAAACAATTCAGAAAGGAGACATCAGAGGGCAGTGGGAAGAAAAACACAGGAAAACAAATATCACAACCACATTATTCCTTACTGATTTTCTGATAGCATTTGCCCTCAAGGATGACTTATTTTGAGTATCACTTTAACTTTATTAATAATTCTCCACTCAGGGCCGGCCGAGTGGCACGTTGGTTAAGAGTTGCCTTGGGACGCCAGCTCTGAGCAGCAGGGCCCTGGTTTGGATCCCACATGAGGGCCAGTGATGCTGCGCCCTCTACAGCTAAGATGGTGAACAACAGCTTGACCTGGAGCTGGGCTGCCATAAATTGCCAGCGATGGCGTGGGCTACAGTGGGGCTGCCTGGCAGCAGGCGTGAGCTGCCGTGAGCCGCCGTGAGCGGCTGTCCAATGGTGGGCGAGCGACTGCCTCACCAGGGAAGAGCACAATGATAATACCAACATGGGCCAATGAAGCGACGTCCTCCACAACTAGACTGAAGAACACAAGGACAGCAACTTGTCTATTCCCCTTTCCCTATTCTCCAATAAAATCTATAAAAATAAATAAATAAAATAAAATAATTCTCTATTCAAAAGGAGGCTCAGAAATTTTCCACTAAACTTTAATTTGGTGTCTCAGACAATTGTTTTTTCAAGATTCCTTTATATATTATTATCATTCAAAAAAATCTTTAACACAGAAATTTGGCATTAAACAGGCTTGTGATTTAGTGGTTATTTTGTTTGACATTTACAAATAAATAGTAATCTATTTTACATTCAATAAATATAAGCTAAGCATTCAAATTATGATGTGATTCTTTTACTTTAGTCTATGCTGATTTTTTTCTTCCTAATGAATAATAATTAATCACACAGGCAACCAAGATATTTTCCAATTATCTAAACATTTCATTTGATTTTGTTATTCTAGTTCACCCAACATTTTAGAGCTTTGAACCTTTCTTTCTACTTTACCTGTAGTGACTGTACTCGTATATAGGTAGTCACTATCTGAACACATCTTCCTTAGTGCAGAATTCCAAGGTTCTTCAGAACTTTCTCAACCAGTGCATAATAAGTGCTCAGTAAATGTTAACTGCTATTATATTATTACCTGACAACATTTACTCTCCACTTTCTAGTAGTCAGAGCCAGGAAGAGAATGTGTACTCACCGTCCTGAGAAAATGGGCACCATATAGTCGCTTGGCAGATTTTCCTTCTCCTCCCCAGAGAGAAGGCTCTTCTTGGCTCTCTTTGTTTGGGGGCTGAACTTGGATGAATAATCTTCTAACATTAGACTAGAATCTGTAAGTCTGAAGCAAAACACTAGTGTTAGACAATGACAAAAAAATGTACTTAAAATATTCAAAATACTTAGAAAAGGAAGTTTTAACTAGGGGGAGTTTTCACAGAATCCTAGATCTCTAGTAACTATCTTTTATCTTTAGAACTAAAGGGGAGTGAGAAAGATCTCTATATAGACACAAGAGAAAAATGAGCCCATAGTAATTTCATGTTTTTTTCCCCCTTAAAATTTCAAGAGAAAACAGTAGTGTTTTTGTACTGGTTTTTGTTTTGGTTTTTTTTAGAAGCATTTTTTTAATATTTATTTTTATTGGGGAACAGTGTGTTTTTCCAGGACCCATTCAGCTCCAAGTCAAGTAGTTGTTTCAATCTAGTTGTGAAGGGCACAGCTCAGTGGCCCATGTGGGGATCGAACCTGCAACCTTGGTGTTATGAGCACCGCGCTTTAACCAACTGAGCTAACTGGCTGCTCTGTACTACTTTTAAATACCCTTTGCTTTTAGATTAATGTTCAAAATTTAGACAGTCTATAAAAATGATTTAGATACATTGTGTATCCAAATCCTTTCAGGGGATTGATAAAAATGCAAAATTTTCTGGATAGGGAGCCCAGGCAATTCTGATGCAGAGCCCTTAGGCTCTACGTTGAGGACTTAATGTAGTATAGACATACCCATTTGAAGGAACACTGGACTAGTCAAACAATAGAGTTAATATGCTTTATGTGAACACACAATGTCAAGTGATTCAGAATTACAGGGTGTGATACAGAACCCTTTGGTCAGTCCTCTTGTACACAAAAATCTGCCCTTGCATACTGTATAATTATACATTTAGAGATTATGCTCTAATAAACCAAAAATTGTATCAGCAGGGCGGAAAACACGAGGGCAGAGATTGCACCTACGGAAAAAGGATTGATAAAAATAAAAATACAGCCTATTTAGCTCTTGAATTAATTGAAATGTATTTTCATTCAAAAATATACAATTTGGCATAAATTTCATGAGCTCATGGCATCCTTGAAGTCAATCCACGGATTTGGGTAAAAAGCCCTTGGTCTACCTTGTAATGAAAGATGTTCACAATATGGAGCTATGTGGGAGCTCTCTGAACTATCCTTTTCATTTTTCTGTGGATTTGAAATCATACTTTAAAAAAAGTTAATATTAAAAAGTCCTCTCGTCTAGAGAAAATTTGAAAAGAAAGTGGGAGTGTATGAGTGGTATGCCATGGGAAAAGCAAGCTGCCCAAATGAAATAGAAAAACCTTCCAAACCTTGACCCATTTCCCAATCTTTAAAAAGAATTAGGAAAAGCAAAAGAGATGACCTAAATCAAAAGCAGAAGAAAGGCCAAAATGGATACATAATAATGCAAGTAAACCTAGCCTCTGCTAAACAAGTAGCACAGAGCTGCAAGGGTGAGTGGCTCTGGGCCTGGTGGAGTAGGGTGGGCTTCTGTCTTTAATCCCTGGACCCGGTGCTAGCATGGAAATGGCCAATGTCTTCCTCACCCTCCTGCATGGTGAATATCTAGTTTTAGTCTATGATCAGCATTAAAACTAAAGGTGAGAATCTTAAATTCGAAGTTGTGGATTGGTTGCCAATTGGAAACATTTGTGAAATTTGCTCCTAACTGGCTATTCCAAGCAGCAGCAAAACAAGTGCATTCTATCCTAGCAGGTTACAAAGTACAGGCTGTGCTTATACAGGTCTAAGTTTAAAGTGGTATTTTCCTTCCTCCCTTTATTCCATTACTATACAAAATAAAATTAATTATGAAGTTTAAGACTTTCCTTTTTTTCCTACTTATAGAACATTTAAATTTTCTAATATTTATCCTGTTTTTCTTTATTTGCTCTTTTCTCTTTATAGTAGTCCCACCCCTTACCCTACGGGAGGTATGTTCCAAGACCCCCAGTTGATGCCTGAAACTGCAGATAGTACTGAATCCTATATATATGTTGTTTCCTATATACACACACCTATGATAAAGTTTACATCTTCTCTTTGGCATATCTGAACTGCCAGCATCACTACTCTTATGCTTTGGGCCATTATTAAGTAAAATAAGGGTTACTTGAACGCAAGCACTGTGATACCGAAACAGTTGATCTGGTAGCCAAGATGGCAGCTACTAAGTGACTAATGGGCAGGGAGTGTATACAGCATGGATATGCTGGACAAAGGATGACTCTCCTCCTGGTGGGATGGAACAGGACAGCATGAGATTTCATCCCGTTACTCAGAATGGTGAATCATTAAAAAATAAGAATTGTTTATTTCTGGAATTTTTCATTTAAAATTTTTGGACTGCAGTTGACTATGGGTAACTGAAAGCTGGAAAGGGAAATTGCAAATCAGGGGGGCTACTGTACTTTCATTCTAGAGTCTACAGGCATCTTCTCATGAGCTCATATTTTTGACATTTAGTTACATCAAAATAGCTATAATTCATCATTCTTTTTGTTGTGTTGTTTTTTGTTCCTTTTCTTGTAATTTTCCCTTTAAAATGAAGTGTTTATTATATAGAATGTTCCATAACGTGATTATTCCATTCTCAGAGGTAAATCACATCAACTGGTTTTTAATACTTGAGCTTCATGGTAATGGTTCATGACACTATCATCAGTTTCTATTTCATATTTCATTTGAAACAAAAATCCAAATTATTTAGGAAAAAACAAATCTTTGTTATGCTTTAAAGTTTCCTCAAGTTTTGAATTCTAATAAAAGAGAGCATGTGAAGGGTTAGATACTAAAATACTGTACTAGTTAATAATTCTGATTTATTTCCTAAAGCTGGCAAACAAAACTAAGTCAGAAAAATGCAGTTTTAAGGAACTATGTTATAATAAGTAACTAATTATTTAAATAAAAACTACCAATAGTCTAAATACGATCCATGAACACTGAAGTCTAACATTTTACTGTATTGAATTTTAAAGTTGAATAATGCTTTTAGAGGAGTTAAATAGAATATGTAAAATTTAAATTTCTTTAAACTTAAAGAGCTATATGAAGGTTTATTCACTTCAAGAGCTTTTAATTGCATCGAAATTTACAAAATAATCTTTTACCTAAAAGTCAGTTTCTGGGCCAGCCGAGTGGTTCAGTTGGTAGGAACACAAGCTCTGAACAACAGGGCCGCCGGTTCGAATCCCACATGGGCCAGTAGCTGCGCCCTCTACAGCTAAGATTATGAACAATAGCTCAACCTGGAGCTGAGCTGCCGTGAGTGGCCGGCGACAGTGTAGGCTGCAGTGGGCTGCAGTGGGCTGTCGTGAGCCGCCGTGAGTGGCCACCCAATGGCCAGCAACCAACTGCCTCAGCTGGGAAGAGCACAATGATAATATCAACATGGGCCAGTGAAGCGATGTCCTCCACAACTAGACAGAAGAACAAAAGGACAAAACTTGGCTGTTCCCCTTTCCCAACTCCTCAATAAAAATCTTTAAAAGAAATAAATAAAAATAAAATAAAATAAAAGTCAGTTTCTGAGTAGATACTAAACTTGATATATATGGGTGTGTGTGGGTCTTTTAACAATTAAAACTACATTTGATGTTCTTTATGTACTTAGTTTAAGCCTTGAAACTTTCTGAATTTTAATTTATGAAGGCAATGAAATTAAGCAATAGTTAAGGGCTGATTTGCATGTGCATACATGCACCCATGCATCTGTAACTATATCTAAGTAGATATAGACAGTTACAGATTAATTAGTTATGGCCTCTGTTAATATGTGTTATGTTGTGTTATGTCCTCAGTTAATATGCCTAAATTTAGCAGAATTTAAAGTGTGTATGACATCATCATACCTATAACCAGCAGAACCACAGAGAAGGAATGTAGCCAAGGTACAGAAAGCTTTCTCTGGAAATACTCCAGGGGCTAAGAAATAGACTTACACCTGCATCTAATTCAAATGATGAACAACAAAGTTAACCTTTTGCTCTTACCACTTCCTAATTATTTTTGACAGGAAAAGCGAAAATAAAACCACTGATAGAATTCCAGAGCGGGAAGAAATTTCAGGGATGTTTATACCAGGCTCCTCATTTATTGATGGTGGAAGACCTATAGCATTTTTGTAACTTGCCCATGTACACACAGTAAGTTGGTAGCTGAACTTGGTTAGTATTCTTTCCAATAAAACTAGTGGTCTCCAACTTTTATGAATGAGTACTCTTGATCCAAAAATGTTGGGAGATGCCACCTATATGCATTTGTTTATTTATAAGTTCTATATATATACTACTGTATAAATATTCTCACTTTATGAAACATTCAGTCAATAGAAAAATTTTAAAGACCAAATTTGATTTTCTTTAAAAAATAAAAGTGCTAATATTTCTTCCTATACCTCTATGGTATGTTTTTGTGGGCTCTCCATTCTGGAAACCATAACACCATGTCACACTGTCCATAATGACTCTGCGATTGAATTGCTATTCCTGAATTTATTTGCATAAATTAAGGTTATGAAATCATCATAGTCCAGTTGAAAATAAAGCATAAAAAACTCATTAGACTTTAGGAGTGGCCGGTTAGCTCAGTTGGTTAGAGCACAGTGCTCATAACACCAAGGTTGCCGGTTTGATCCATAAAAAAAAGAAAAAAAATCATTAAACTTTATATGAATTAAAATATTCATTTTTTTTAAAGTTATGTTTGTAACCACCATATAAATTTGGGAAATTGACCTACATTCCCCAGATGAGTAATTTATTCAGACTCATGTGAAGTATGGATCTGCTTAATGGCTATATTGCTTTCTGAAAATATTCTGACAACCGATCAGCATGTTTCAGAAAAATGATGGGTTGTAGGCATTGTTCTTTGTAGACATGCTCCCAAACCCAGCATCACCCATCCCTATATGCTTGTGGTTGTACTGCATTATTGGTTTTTCCCTCTATTTTTCCCACTGCCTACTACTAAAGAAGAGGGATGGTTTCAGTTATCTTTGTATCCTCCACTGTCTCCAGTGTTTGATACTGTTCA